AACAATTCCAAGATGGATACACGTAAATACAACTGGTAAGTAAATTGAAGAATATTTTCGTGCAAACTTAAAAGAAATAAATGCAAGGAAATAAAACCGGAATAACTTTTCTCATTCTTCTTGACTTCTCTCGTGTAGTCGTCTACATATTAATTGTACGAAGACGATCAAGAACAGCAGCAGTATCAGAAAATTGTTTATACAGTACTTATTTGAGCTCGATACTCGTTTTCTTTGCTATTGTTCATAGTGTTACAGTATTGACACGCTAGGGAACAAACGTGATTGTTGCACGTAAGTATTGTATTATTAAATAAATTGTTACAAAAAATGAAATATAATAGTTTTATAAGGGACTAGCTGTTACCCGCGACTTGGCCCGCGGAGGTTTTGCAAGCAAACCCCATTAATATTCAGTATTTCAACAACAAATATAATTGTTATATAACCTACCGCCGAGAATGATGAGAATTGCCGAAAATCAAACAAACTATTTTCAATTTGATCAATTTTCTGGAACGTTTACAATCGTTTTATAATCGAATCAATATGCAATAACAAATTCGAATTTAAAACGGTTCGAACATTCGGTTAAAAATTCGAAATATATAAAAATGTTTATAACAATGTCTGAAATGTTATTAATTTAATACATTTAAGTACTTAATGAAGACTAAATCGCATGTAAAATAGTAACAGTAGAAGCCGTTTTTCCGGTTAAGCCTTAAATGCTCTCCCTATCCCGCCGCGGGGGAATTTCGAAAAATTTCTTCTAAGTGTGCGTTTTCGTGACGTAACCTAACTGTGTACCAAATTTCACCTCTTTAGGTTCAGCGGTTTGTTCTGGGCGATAATGAATCACTGAGTCAGTCAGGACAAGCAATTTTATATACATAGATAAAAGTATAACAATAAAATTATCCAGATGGAAGGAATTTTAAATGGAAAAGGTATAAAATTACTAATGTGGTAATGAGTTTACGTGTGGCGTGGCTAAGTGTACAGTTTTGGCGGACGTACGCAAAATTTCAGAATTACATTTCGCAATTTATCGAGTTTAAACTTTAAACCTCGACTTATAAATTAATAAGAAACTTTTAATCTTTAGAATTTAGTAACCAAATATATTTATTTACAGGGTTATATATACACGTATAACGGTTCGTTAATGTATAATTTCATCAGAAAATATATCTCGCAATCGGGAAACGATTCATCGTTTCTCGACTGCAAGATATATTTTCTGATCGAAATCGTAATATTTCACCTCTCCGTATTCCTACATAACGACGAACTTTAAGGACGATCCTACGTATCCCTAATAATCAAACATCGCTGCAAACTTTCATAATTTTTCGACAAAAAGCACAGGAGTTATTAAGCTTCAGACAGGATGAGCAAAATCAACTCCCCCCGTACACACAAACACTAACGTCTATATATACAGAAATTACCGCAAATTTTTACATTTCTCGACGTTTCGGGGTTTCCAATCCAAAAATGTAAACACCTTGGTTTTTTAACTAATCGTAATTGCCTTCTGTTATACGGGGTTTAACAGCTGAGAAGTAAAATTAGAGAAAGACTTTAATAAAGGCAATTTTAATAATTATAATTAATTGTATGTGAAAAGTCTATAAACAGAAGTTAAAAACTTCTCTTGTAATGGGCCGACATTATCTCGAAAGCCATCTTATTGTTTTAAATATCATAATGATGGGAGTCTATGTACAGTACAATATTCAAAGTCGAATCGAGTCGTATACAATTTATGTTTAATTTGATCGATTAATTTTTTATTAAATATATGATAAATTAAACAGATGAAAGTTATATAATAGAAAAGGCTACTTGAATTTAATTGCAAGTTGGAACAGAAGTTTTCGTGGATAGATTTAAACGGGATTAAGGACGTGGCCAACTTAAATTTAAATTTAATTTTAACAAAATCAGTTAAAATTAATTGTTGTAGACACTGCAGGATATAGAAATGTCAGAAAATTTTCTATAAATCGAAATGAGAATGCATTAAACTAATGAACTTGTGGAAGGGAATAAAACTGTAGCAGTGAAATCACGGGTACTTTTGAATCGTGAAAGTCACTCCCAATACAAATTGCCCAATATTAATATATTAATTACATGTGAACTAAAATTACACAATACAGTACAATCTCGGTAATCCGTACGTTCGCTAGTTCTACACATTCAGTAATCTGACAGTAGTCGATTCTCGGGGATTATTGCTGCCAATTCCAAGTTCAAACTGCAGTTCTTACTAAATCTCACTAAACGTAGCGTAATACCGATTCCGAGCTTGAATTTTCATCGATGTTTAGCCTAACAAATTTTTAAAAAATAATTATCGTCGCTATTGTATCGTTAAAAACTGTTTTTAAATTATTTTATTGCTCACGAAACAAACAACCACTCGTAATTAGAAAATTAAGTCTCGATTAAATACAGGCCTCCCTTCAATGGTGGAGCCGTTGATGCCAGCTAAAACACGCAAAAATTTAACAAAAATAATATTAAAGTAGCCGAGACGTAGCCAAATATTGTAGCGCCACATCACTAGCGGACATTTGAAATTTGCCGACTAGAACGGTCGGTTAACCGATGTGACGGTTGATCGCTAGTCGGATAATCGATGCTCTACTGTAATTAATTGATCGATGATCTAAAGGTTGAAGGGGGTCATCAGGAAACGAACCAAACGGCAAAAAAAATATCTGGAGAAGGACGAAGAGTGTCTCATTGTATTAATACCTCCTTTCCATGCGGAATATTGATGATGATTGATTTTATTCTTATTGTTTCTTATTAAGGGTAACTAGCCCTGGCGAGGCGCGAACCCACAGCAGACTTCTTAGTGTTCGGGGAATGGAACCGCTCGGCCACTAGTTAATGGGGCAATTTGATTATTGGTTTCCTACTCTACTCGTTATATCGAAAGAGAATTTTACTTAGTAGATTGTGTAGAATGAGACAAATTCTAACTCATTTCGATTTAAAAGTTTCATTGCCTCACGAAAAATTATAAATACTTTAGAAGTGTGATTTCCCTTTGATTAAAGAGTTAGCAAACCTCTAAAGAAAGACTGGGAGACATTTAATATATCATCATATAACATTTTAACACATTTTTTGCATTTTAAATTTGCTATTAAGACCGTATATGTTTTTAGAACCGTTTCATACAGCGGACATTCGGTAATATCGGATATCCTTTTACCCAATTAGTCCGTTAAATCCAGGGTTTTCTCTATTCTAAAACATACTGATTGCCTGATTTACAAAGCAATCGTAATACATTTTAATACTAGATTACCAGCATTTAAAATATTTCGAATTTATGCAAGGTATTTACTTTTTATTCTAATTTTTCCGATATAACGAAATTACTTGGCCATAAGACATTAAGATATTCTTCGAGACGATTAACGCGACTACGTATTTGAATATTGACACACGCACCTTCTTTGTCTCGTGTTAAATATGAGTTATCGCGGTAACTCCTAATTCAGTTAAGCAGTTATACTTTGCTAATGAAGCATTATTCTGTCTCGCGCTTCCTTAAAATTATTGCATGCATTTCCTTAAGCACACTTGTATAATTATATGTTTGTTAATTTAAAGTCTCCATTGTTTTATTTTCTCTACTAATTGATAAGTTGCTGTCATTTCCTTTGTAACTATTACGGTATTTCTGACACTAGCGCGATTGTTAAATCTAATTGTCAGGACTATTTAAAATAGATACTGTTCTTGCACGATGCAATACCGATCGCGATTGCAACGAAATAATTCCTAGAAAGATGACGTAACTTAAAGTCATTAGAAAGAAAGTGAACGGTGTAATTTTATCCCCTCCAGAACAATTTAGATGCTAATGGCATTTTACAAAAAGCAGAACAGGTTTGGAAACGATTAACTGGGTGACGAATATATCAAAAGTTTAAGCGAGTTAGAAACTGCTTTCTCGATTTCATTGTTGTTTCTTTAGTTGACAGGTAAGTGACTTAAACGGCGGCATTTAAAATAATGGCGATTAATCGAAATTCTGAATATTTACTTTATTTTAATTTTCTAACAAATATCGCACTTCTTGTAAGATTATAAAGGTTTAATTTATTCGGATTTTTATATTTATATAAAGAAAAAAAATCAGTTCAGAGATGGACACAGCCGCAAAAACGAACCTTTTAAGTGGAAGCGCCACCGATTTTCATCCCGCCACTAATTAATGTGTGATTTTATCGACAGATCTTTAAATTATTTTATTTATGAAATATTATGACGAAATAAAACGGTTAATTTATAATATGTAAACTTTTTATTTGATTACATTTTATCAATACAAATGTAGAAGATGTTCGGGTAGGAGGCCGCGGGCCTGATTCACTCTGTAATAAACTGATATTTATTATTTAAATAGTTTAAAAGTTATGTAAGAAGTGATAAATGCTGCAGATAATTTTTTTATCTCGATTGACAAGAACGAAAGCCGTTTATCTTTAAGAGAATTGCGTAAATGACGGCCTTGGGGTACAAAACTTGTTTGCTATTCTGAAGGTAAAGAAAGTTGGAAATCAAAATAAATAATTTTTCATGTTTTTTTTTCGTTTCGAAGTAAACAAAACTAATGTTTTCCCCCCTCTATATAGAAGTTATATTTTAAAATAATTTTTACGATTATTCGCAGGTATTTGGTATAATGGTACGACGGTAACACTCAAGGTCTTCTTCCGAGGACCTTGGGTAACAGCGCCCTCTGGAATTAGTATATATAATTATGTAATATATCGACATAAAAATATCAACGTGTATATTCAGTTAACTCTATTATTATTATTTGTTATTTATAATTTATGTTAGTTTTGATATCATTAGTATTTTGTTTTGAATATTTTACGATTCGTAACTAACTGTACGTATTTCAACACTAATCGTCGTGATTTCGTCACTTTCCGTGACGTCGTGGAGGTGAAGCACGTGACGTTTAGCTGTTGTAGGAGAAATCGCGGGAGGAAAGCAAGTATGCTCGTGTGTGCTATTAGTCATTCGTTGTGTGTTAATTTACCTCGACAGCATGACAAATAAAATTAATACTGCCTTTTTTACCACTTCTATTAACTTGTCTTCCAGTAAAAAGTAAGTGTAACGATATCTTTGCATGATAATGTATTAATTTTAATATAAATACCACGAATGTGACTGAATGACCCATAAAAATAATATCACTCGACCTCCATACACTGTAACCTACTTATTACTTAAACGATTGGTTTCCTACCCTTAACCACTTTCACCTATTCAATTTAATTAACTAATTTCTGATTTTTTTAATCATTTAAAAGCAAGAAAATGTTTTACGTGGTATTTACGAATGTTGAGTTTTAAAATACTCCCTTCGGTAATTATGATTATGTAGAAACTTCTTGAAATATTGGAAAACAAAGGAAATGCTGGAAGTAAATACCGGTAAGTATTTTACGGCTTATGTTTTGTATTGACCGCAGTTGTTAAAGTTCTAGAACCCGTTGTTGTGTTGCTTGTTTTTTGAGCCCTTGATGTTCAATCAATGCTTTGCAACTTGTATGTAGAAATAACGGTACTTATCGGTTAGCGGGGTGCCGGTCGATCGATGAGATCTAACTCGAGCGTATTGGGTTGATGGTTGGTTCAGAGAAAATTTCTTAAATGGATAAGTAACTTCAAACAAATCGGTCGTTCGCAAATGGTTCGCTGCCTCCCTTGTGCGGGGCGCCCCTTAGACCCCGAGGCAAACTTATATAACGTCGGGTCGCATGGGCGGCAAGTACTATGTATGGTAACTAAACTTCCAATTACGTTTCGATTGACGTCCAAGGGTGTAAAATTTACCGGGAATTTGCTACGCTACGTTACCGAAGAACATCCGAACCCACTCCATCTCAATGTTAGCTCTGGTGAATTTCGTTTTGGCTACCGAGCCAGAAAATGGGCTACTAATAATGCAGCGGGGGATGTGGGGTTGCGTATTTATCCATTTGGGAAATCCTCTCTGAACCGATTATCAACCTAATACACGCGAGTTGGATCGCATCGATTGACTGGTGTCCTGCTAACCAGAAAGTACCGAAATAAGTTGTGCTTCTGCAGAAGGAAACGACTTTGAATGGTTCTCTAATGGTATTACCCGGAACTCTTCCGCAGAACTCCGAGTGGCATTTGTGTTGTCGTCATCTTTTCGTTGGATACAAAATAATGTTGCTAGAGCTCTTCTGGTCCCGATGACATTTTTTATAGCATGAGAAGAATGGATGTGATAAGAATACCGTGATTTTCTTTATTCAAATATCATCTGTTTTTTTTTTACTAAATTATATATATAAAAAGTAAAAAAAGTATTGTTTTGAACGATATTTTATCTCTAAGAAGTTATTGGCACACTAAAGTTTTATAGATTGTATATTTAAATGCAAAAAAGTACAAAAGAAACCTTGTCCGGGAGGGCTTTTTGTAAGTATTGACTCCCAAAACTTGCTTCTGTAATCTCCTGTCAAAGTAGTTACCTCGGCTATCTATACACAATTGCCAACGTTTCTGGAGGTCTTGGAAGTGAGCGCAGAAAGCTTCAAATGGGATGCTTGTTAACTCATTTGTCACAGTCCATTGGACGTCTGCGATATATTGACGAAACGTCCCTTTTGGTTGCCACCCTTTGTCAGAAAAGTGTGAATTTTTTCTTGTTTCCACGAGTGAAAGAGCAACCGAAAGGGACATTTTGTCAAGATATCGCAGATGTCCAACAGACTGTGACAAATGAGCTAACAAGCATCATTTGAAGCTTTGTCCACTTGCTTCCAAGACCTCCAGAAACATTGGCAATTGTGTATAGATAGCTAAGGGGACTACTTTGACAGGAGCTAGGAAAATTGTAATTACTTGGTAATTACAATTTTCTATTTTTTTACGAGCTTTGTCCTGAAACTTTTCTGACAAAGGGTATATCTTAGTTTATAATAATATATTATATAGTTTTATGTTATTATATTTACAAAATACCATTTTCATACTTTAATGATATTAAAGTATTTATAAAAGATAGGGTGTCCCATGTAAAATGACTTCACTCACTGGAAACGATACAAGTGAATTGAGGCCAAAGACACTTATTAGAAACATTATTTGTGTACAAATTTACAAATGATGCTAAAAATGGTGTCTTTACCCATGTGTACACATGTATTTGTACAGACTGACATTATGAATATCAATGTCACTATCCTCATTTTTTCTGCAAATGCTTTTCTTCAGTTTGCGTAAGGTGTATGAGGTAAATCCTAGAACCATCCTTTTTAAAATTTGTTTTCTCGCAATCGAATTGTCATCATTTTAGTTTTGTGTAGCAGAGTGTCTTTGTGCTAAAAATGTATTCGTGCCAGGGATACAACTGCTTGAATGGCAGAAATTCCTTTTGCAAAATTTTAACATAATGTTTAGTTATGATAGTGCCACGACAGATAAATAAATGATGCAATAAGCTGACATACAGCGCCAAAGCATTATTGACACTAGTTTTTGAATGAATCGTTGCTAACACTGATTATTGGCTTTATTTTTCCATTCACTATCTTTTGACCAATCAAACATATGGTTTTTGGAATACTGATTTGACTGACTAAATTGCATCTCCAAATTTGTGGGTTTCAGTTTTTGTTTAGCATAATACAGACTGAATCAAATGAACAAAACAACCTTGAAATTCCAGCAGTATTCAGTTTAATAAAACTAAAGTTCTCAACCATATTTTAAAAGTTATCTCAATATAGCCCTTAGAATAAATGTGTACAGTATTTATTTATTTTATGAAGAACATTTGAATGGAAAATAAACAGAAATAGAATCTCTTGTTGTGCTCTGTCTGAAATAATTTTCAGACTTTATCCTTTAATATCACTTCTGTAATAGTTGCTGTTACGATAAGATCTGGCAACGTCAGAGACAGAGGGACGTGCAAAACAGACAGCCCTGACTAATATATAAGAGTGGAGACCGTCCGGTTCAAGTAGGACCCCGAATAAAGCATTTACAGTAAGTGTCTGTATTCCTGTTTCGCAGGGGTCTTAAGTGCATCATGAAGGGTGTATAAACGCTAAGTAAACCATATAAAACAGTTGCGTTATTAAGTGCATTATTAAACAAACTTTTTCAATTAAAAAATGAGATTATGTTTCAAACAGCAGTATAATAATAATAATAGTTTTATTGAAGATGGTCTTTAATTAAAAATAAAATGTTTTAATATATTTTCAAAAGCTTTTTGACAAGATATCAAGTGACGTAGATGATACCAAATGATCAGTCACATGTTGCTTGACATTATCTGATATCGATAGTTTAAAAGTAAAAAACATACAAAATATTTTAGCAGATAAGAACAAGTGATATTACTTGATGTCAGTCTTAATTCTCATCTTCTAAGCATAGCAAACGAGTTTAGATATAACTATGTCTACTTTTTACTGCATTAGTCATGCTTTTTTTACTTTCTGCATGCCACATAAGTGTTTGTTATTCTCTGAGAGCTAGTTTCACGTATTGCTACTTTGTTTTTAGAGTTGATTTGCTTGAATATTGCTTTATAAATGTTTTTATATTGCATTATTTTATTCTTTAGTTTTAAAAACAATTTAAAGTTAAATTACAGTTTATTTTAAGCTTTTGTTATTTACCGAAAATGTTCGGCACTTATCAAGATATTGTGGAATACAAAATTTTATTGAAACAAAACAAGTGAACATTGTACATGGAATTTAAAGTTTTTACGCAGTAGTTTTGTACTGTTACATTCAAATATGGAAAGTATTATTTTAAAATTATCAGATTTTATTATTGGGTTATATATTTAATTGATAAGAAATCAGTTAATACTGAATTTAGCTTTACATTTACATGATGCATCTTGTGATGATTTAACAAATGACTGATAATTATCCATGATTTCAAAATAAAAAAAAATATGAAGACACAAATGATATTTGTTTATGTAACCTGCAGGCTTATTGATCTAGGGACTTCGAATAGAATCGGGCAAGTGGCTCTGGGAATTTTTCGGGGGGTATTCAAACGTGAATATGTTAGAACCGTTCGTCACCACTCAATTGCTCCATTTTGGGATCGGTGGAATCCACTTTGGGTAAAACTGAACTGTTGCACTTTTCTATATTAAATTTTTTAATGTGTTTTTTCATTAGATAACATAAAATGAAACATGCTTTGATTTATTTACAGATACAAAATAATAGTTCAATGTTTTGTAGGTGTTTGCTATTTGTATTTGCTTTGTTGGCATTAAAGTTAATTCTTTGTCATATTTTATCTTTAATCAGTCATTAAATGATATCTAGTCATATTTTTATGAATGATTTATTTAAAAGAAAATATGATATAGATAAAAAATGACATCATACAACAAATTAATATTAAAATTGATAAGTTTGTTAGTATTAGTTTGTTGACTGCCAGATATTCGAGCAGGAACCTGGGATCGAATCTGAATGTGTAGAAAAACCCCAGGAATTTTTAGGATTGTCTGTGCATTGTTTTGAAACCTGTCCCTCGACATCCATTGTGGGTCCGGTTGAACCCGAAATTGACTTTATAAAAGGTTCTCTTAATGCCCGTGGGGCAGAAAGCGTTTTAAAAAAGTATTAGTTGGCCAGATGACAAAGGTTAAAAATGTGTGTAAATATTTATGATAAATTTTTTTTTCCTTACAGAACCATTGGAAACGATTTTATGATAACCTTAATTTATGCGATGGTCAGTTATCTAATGTCTTGGATGATGAGCTTCATTCCTAATCATTTCTTAAAACGGTTTCGGTGGTGCCCTACGTCCTTTGAAGAACTGGACGAAGCCGAAAAGAACATCTTGAGTTGTATGTATAATTTATTTATTAATAATTCAGATAATTATTTCAAATTAGAAAATTCTAATAATTAGCTTTTAAATTTTCTGTCTTTAAATAAAATAAACAACAAAAATGCTATTCGGTTCGGCGTTAATGTTGCAAAAAATTATCTAGCATATTTAAGATGGCAATTGATTAGAATGGGGGTCACCAAAGTATTCAGTTTAGGGGATTAAAAGTTAGTTGGAACTTTATTGGAAGCAGTTTGTTAAATTATTAGTGCAATGGGTTATGTACGTAACAGTTCAGGATGTAAATTTGCATCCTGTAAATAAAAGTTTTCTATGAAAACTGTGCAGATTAATATTGGCTTGCCAGACTTGTTGTTGCTATCTGTATTAGCACGTAAAGGGAAAGGTGGATAAAAGATTAAGATATTCTTGGAGAGGTCAACAGTCAAAAAAGTTTGGGAGTCCCAATTAGAGATATTGTTGATGCTAATTTTCAAATATCAACTGTCAGATTTTAGAGTGTAATTAAACTTCATAATTTGGCCTATAGGTGAGGCAGATAGACCATCATTTCATCTACTATTAATTAGAAATTAAAATGAATTAAGTAAAAAATCTAGTAGAAAACATTAACTCACAAGTGCAACACTCACTTCGACTCCTTACTGCGCAAATGCAAGTAAGTACATTGATAGTTAAATGTTTTGACATCTTTCTAATCTTTATTTCCAATCATTTATATTAATTTAGAAAATAAAACCATACAAATTAATCACTCAAAATGTTTAATTGTGACTTCTAAACAGTATTAAATGCTTCATTTTTGGTTAAACGAAATAAAGATGGAGTTGTTAAAATTTGTAGTTAACTCAATTTTAATGTATGAAAATCACAGTTTTTAAAGTTTAATTTATATCTTTATAATCAAAGCAATTTATCTAATTTATGTTAGACAAGTTTTTATATACTCGCAGATAAAAATCTGAAAATTCTATTATGATATCTAAAGAGACACATCAAATGTTAATATGTATTAGAGCATGGAATTTGGACTACTATAAAATATTTTTAGAACTGATAAACCAAATTATTATTTTACAAAGTGTATAGTTTGCTATGCACTGGATAATTTGATGCTTATCTAGGGTTTTGAATCAAGTATTTATGTATATAATAATAATATATAATTTTTTATTTTACTTTCCCTGCTTTTATAACGTAACACAGGAAAGTATTGTAATTGTGTCAAATTTGAATTCCAGGTTTTGCGAATCTTGATATTTTGAGACTTGAACCCAAAAATCAAAAGTGGGAAAAATTCCATGCGTGTTGGCATGTATTTTCTTTAATATCTCAGGATGGGATAAAGATTAAGAAATAAAATTTGGCATGATAACTTGTACGTAAGGAGCATTGATGCAATTAAATTTCAGAATGTAGAAGTTTGGGGATGGGAAGATACGGTGAGGTCACATCCCGTGTCTTGAATGGGGTCGAGCTTAACAAACGTTTTATTCATTACTGGCATTTACAATACTTTTAAAAGTAATCTCTATTTTCAAGATTAAACCTCTTGTTTTTTAATTTTTTTCTAATTATTTTTTATAATTCTCATAAAAAATTATAGAAATTAAAATGATTATCAAATTCTAATGCTTGTTTTGCTTTTAATCTTCTCTTTAGCATCTTCATCATAGTACAAGTTGGATATCATTTAAATTAAACTGAGAACTAGGTTTCCTATAAGACATAGTTTTTGTATTACTCAGTAAAACAACATAAATTTGAATTTTTTTTTTACCTTAAATACTGAAAATCTAGTTTAAATTATAATAAATCTATTTACTTCCTTCATAAAGCTGAATCTAATCATATACTATAAACGGAATGTCAGTCAATGTTATCTTAGAATTTCTTATAAAGGTTTATCATAAATTAAATTCTTCAAGTTTTTTTTATATTGATGTATTAAAATAGATTTTCTTTGTTTAACATTAATTTGAAATACGACCTTATAAATGATTTAATAAAGAAACTGGATCTTCATGGTAAACAAGACAGACAATCGTGAATGTCACCATCTGTCACGAATGCAAGAACCATATCTTTCTTGGAAAGGTATAAAAATATTAGGAACAAAAAATAAATTGCTAATGATAAAAATCTTTAACAAATTAGAGAAGTCTCACAAGCATTTTAAACATTGCGTTAATGGTCTCTGGGCATGTTAGAATGCATCTAGAACACAGAATCATTAACACACTGGAAAAGAATTTGGAAAGGAATGCCATATTTGAAAAACAGGTTTAAAGTAAAAAATATTTTGAATAGAAATGAAGGCTAATGAAATAGATGTTCAAACATTTTTAAAGTATTTTGTACATTTGCAAGTTATTAATTTTCTATTAAAAAAAATATAAAAATAAACATTAATAAAACAAACTAACGACAAATTATTCGGTATCTAAAGAAATTTTTATTTATAATTTTTGTTTAAAGTTTCCTTACACGAGACTGAATTTGTAGAGCATTTTGTGTCTAGGCTCTAGTCAAACGGCCTTGTAGATTCTATTTAAACCTGGCAATGAATTTAGAGATTAGTTTTTATAACTGATTAAAGGAAAAACTGGATTGAAAATAGTAGCATGATTTTAAATATATCCCTATTTCTTTATATTTTCTAAATATAAATTGGTTGAAATGCAAAAACAAAATTAATATTAATTGTTTTTACTATCTGGTTCTATACTTAGATTTTATTCTATGGTTTTTGAATATATACATATGTATAAAAATAAATATTCAATATTAAAGCCAAAAATCCTTTATAATTCAGCATTTAATTTCTGATAAAGGATTTTACATCGACTTCATCCAGTTTAATGTTTCATTAATTAAACAATATTACCAATTTTTTCTTAGATACTTTATCATTCAAAAGGTACAAATTTAGAATATGACAAAATATTGCTAAAAGAGTCTAATTATAATGTTTGTGATACCTTTGATTTTTAAGTGAGATGAAAGCAAAACAAAATCTTTCAGAAATATAAACTTTGAGCTACCACTTAAACTAGACAAGTTATGAAATGTATCAAAGTATCCATAATAACATAACTTAAAGTATAAACTGCTATGTATGTTTTCATAGTTTGTTTTTTTTTTTTTTTTTTTAATTATGTTTGACACTTAGAAAATAATAATGTTTATCGTTATTGTTCAATTTCTACTCGAGGGGACTCATCTTTGTTACTTTTGTGGGTACTTGTTCGTTTGCGGGGCGATCTTGATTTCTTTTTCTTCTTTTGTTAACGGGAGAGTTGCCCTTGTTTTCGGTATGATGGAAGTAAATCATCATATTAAGGCAATTTTCAGCTTAGAGAAGTTACAAATGCCATATAATGCACTCTACATACAATAAATTTTTATATCATACAAATCCATTAATCAATAGTTTTTCTATAAAATCTTGCTTTGTAATATTGACATAAATGTTTTCTCTATTACTAATAAGATTTCATAAATTTTATTTTAGATGTGAAAAAACCATTTGTTGCAGAATACGTTAACATAGGTACGGAATGGGGCTACAACGACAGCGACATCAAAATATGGACTTTAAAAATGAATACGACCTCCAGACAGACTCCCCTAGTCATGATTCACGGGTTTGCTTCCGGAGTCGGTCTGTGGATTATGAACTTGGACGTACTCTCTACGAACTGTCCTGTGTATGCTTTTGATTTACTCGGTTTTGGAAAGAGTTCAAGACCAAAGTTTAGTAAAGATGCAATAGAAGCAGAAAATCAATTTGTTTGCAGTAAGTATGAGTGGGTAAAAATCCACTTTCATGAATTTTACTTTTAATAAATTACAATTGGAAAGTTGAATCAAATTGATAAAACATATCAGTGTGAAATTTTCAATTAGTTCTTAATTTGTTTAACCTTCCATTATTATACCGAATCTATATATATATGACTCCTTTATATAATCAAGATGCATTTATCAATTATTGAAATATGAAGTTTTTCTCAAATTTTTAATGAAAATTACATTTCATGCTAATATTTGCATAAAAATATAATAAACAGATAAATTCAAATTTATATTTATTTCAAAAGAAATATATTTTATGTATTAGCTGTGATAACAGTCTTTGCTCAGCAATTACATATTGAAATTTACTCTAAATACATTCTATAGCCTAAGAAGGATTCATACATTCTCACATGATACTTGAACAAACAAACTCAGATATGCATTCAATTATATATATATAGATAACACATTTAAAGTTCAATTTATAGCCTGTTAGCAGCATGATATTTTGAGTATACTGGAGTTAAGTCTAGCATTGCAGTTAATATTAGGTCATTGCAAATGAAATGGCTGTTTTTTAAAATTTAAACTTCCCAGCCTTGTAGTTCAACTTTTTTCCATGTGAATAGTGCTGTATGTTTGCAATTGGAAGAGCACACACATGTTAATTTCAAAATGTAATCTCATTTATATTGTGAGTTCCACATGTTAGAGTACTTTTTCTGATGGCATGGAAAAAATTAGTATAAGCAGGGAGAGAAGACAGCTGAAGCGACTCAAACTAACAATAAAACCTTTGGTGAAGGTTTTGTGTGTTAACAGACTACCAGGCATTGGTTCAAAAAATTTCATTTCGGGAATACAAACTTCAAAAATCGAAATTGAAGAATGTTGTTGAATTGACTGTAGAAAGGTTTAACATACTGGACATTATTCAGCCATTTCTCCAACATCTAAACATGTTAGGGAAAGTCAAGAAGCTGCCTAAATGAGTACCACACAAACTCAGAGAGATAAGAAGCATCATTTGGAAGTCAGCAGTTCTTTCATTATTTCTTACAAAAATAAAAGTTTTCAAGAGAAATTCTTTTCCATCTACCTTATTCTTCAGACTATAACTTTTTTTATACATTTGGACAGTTTTTGGCAAGGAAAAAATCTTCAAGGAAAAGGAAAAAAGTACCTTTAATGACTTGGCTTCTCATTCTCGTGATTTTTATCAAATTGGCATTAATGCATTTCTATTGAATTGGGAAAAGTGTAATAATGTTGGTGGAGACAATTTTGACTGAATATGTAAGTTTTAAATTAAATTAATAAACATTCAAAGTCAGAAGTAAAATCAGCCATTTCATTTGCAGCAATCTAATAGTTAAAATTTGATAATCTCTAATGTGAAATATTACTGCATTAGCATCAAACTTTGAAATCAAATATCATTCAATTTTGGAGTTACATTGCTAAACCAGAATTCATATACAAATATCCCCTAAGCCCAATATATTAGTAATACACCAAACATCTGCCAGGTTAAATTGGGATACTTCACAGTTTTTATTTTAATTAATTTTTAAATAATTTACTAGAGGTAGGTGTTACCTTATGACTATCTCTAGTAACAAATTATGTTGCAATCATTTGGCATAGACCAGAATTTGTACCAAAATCTTCAAAATGGAAGTGATAAAATTAAATGATAGTTTAAATTGAAACTTTTTATTAAAATATTCAAATGTTTATGAGATAAATGTAGTCAAAACAATTCAGAAGTTGATGGCATTGAGATTGCCTTGTGTCGTTAGACATCATGACACCAATCATCAATGACATTGTGATTTAAATTAGATTTCAATGTATGTACGAGAAAGATACTACTACTAGTTTTTGGTATGCAGTGCAGTTGTATTTAAATCCAATCAATAAAAACTGGATAAATTGACATTTATGTAATATAAGTGGCATCCAAGAATTTGTCTTTAAAGGTGCTTGAATGAAATTAAATAAAAACAATTTATTAATATAATATGTAATATTGCATTGCATGTCTTTGCTTCTTTTGCATAAAATGCTGTAAAAAAAAGGGGGGGTTCATTTTGGGGGGTCAGGAACAGATAAATATATTTTATATTGTTTCTATGGAAAAATTTGTTTTGGTTTCTGAACAACTTTCAGGAACAAATTATGTTCGAAAACTGAGGTTTGAATGTATTTAAATCATATTGTACAGCCTTTAAATCACAATACAGGTAGCCCTCGGTTTACGCCGCTTCGCAATTTGCCGTTTTGCGGTGTAATTCCCCTATTTTCCCTATGCTTTTGATTTCAGTGTCGACGTATTTACCAAGCCGCGACATTGTACATTCATTAAAACAAAGATTTTTATATTTATATTTATATTTTAAATATATTTATTTATATAATATATTTAAATATATTTATTTTTTCTGTTTAATATTACTGGGTATGTATACATTTGCATTAAATTAATATTAAAATACTAAACGTTTAGGTACCCACGAGTCAAGTTATTAAACTTAATAGTCCAATAAATGGCGTCTGAATCTATAGCGCCAATGAAGGTATTCCGTATCAGTTTATTCAGGAAAACACCTTACGACACAGTAGCACTTCCAGAGATCACAAACTATCGTTAGTGAGACAAATCTACTTCTCATTGACCAGACGATATCTACCTCTTGTCAGTCAGATGATATCTATCTCTCCTTAGCCACTGTGAATTTTCCCGCTCAAACTGACCTTATATATGCGCTACGGCGACTGGTAGTCGACCAATTAATGTCTCCACTCGTTTGTAGCTCTATGTTGGGTTAGCGTATCCTTTCAACTATGGAAAGTTTGACGGATGAACTTTGTGAGTTAGACAATGATTGGGAGCGAAGTGCAAATGTAAAAAGGAGCATTGTCGCATCCATTCGACCATATTCCGAAATTCTCAATGAAAAAAGAAAAATGTAAACAATTAAAGATGTTTCCGAAAAATGTGAGAGATTCGAAACTAAAATCTTTTAATAAAAACATTTCACTTTATTTTATGATAAAATACATTTAAAAAATTAAATTTATTTGTATTTTGTATTATATTGTATTAATAAACAAAATTATTTGCGTATTTTTTACTTATGTAGAACCTAACCTTATACCTCAGTGTAAATATGGGTTTGTTTATCGCCGATTCAATTTGCGCCAGCTTTTGTAGGAACGGAACTGTGGCGTAAACCGAGGGCTACCTGTATATATTTATAGCAGATGAAAATTGTTATATGTAACATTGGAATTTGATGTTTCTATGATCTTTGATTGATTGCATTGGGAATAATTCAGCAAAGATCTTGTTTGATGATGGTTTGATATGCCTGATTTTTTCAAAAATTTACAAAAATTTAAAGTCATTAGCTGTATGCCAGTTTTATGTATTTTATGTATGAAAAAGTATCTAAAGTAATTTCTTAAGCCAATGCACAAGGGGCAAAATAAAGATAATGGACATCAACAATTGGCAGTTAAATTAATCTTTAATGCGTCATGATTGTAATTTTGCCACTTTGCACATTGGCTTTTAATGTTTCAATACAATTTTCACAACTTAAAATTTTTTTCTGTATGAATAATTGTTGTCTAAATGTATTTGAAATTCCTATTGAAAACGCAAACCTCTACACAAAAACCTTTAAAATGTAGCCTTTTTCTAAAAAGGCTACATTTTAAAGGTTTTTGTGTCAAGGTTTGAATATTAAGTGCAGTTACAGAAGAATCTATTGAAAACTGTAATATTACATAGAAGAAATAAAATTTTACATTCATATAAATTTTTTGTAAGGTATCGAAGCATGGCGGAAGAAACTCGGATTGCAGAAATTTTTTCTACTCGGCCACAGTCTGGGAGGATTTGTTGCGGCCGCTTATGCGCTGAAGCATCCCGACCGCGTGGCTCATCTGATTTTGTGTGATCCGTGGGGTTTTCCCGAACGTCCGATATCCATGTCTCACAGATACAATTTACCGACGTGGGTGAAAGTGGTGGTTAATTTCCTTCGGCCGTTCAATCCTCTGGCCAGTCTCAGAGCCGCCGGTCCCGCCGGTAAGATATTTTAATCTAAAATGTTAAATTATGGTTGTAAACAATAAAATTTATAAACTGTGCCACCTATATTTTTTTCCATCTGTTTAATATATTTATAATCTTGAAGAATATATATTGATCCTAATGATTGAAATTTATGTAAAATTAGTATATTCAATAAATCAGTTAAATGAAATGCATTATCTGTTGTTAGTTAATGCATTTCATTTATTTGTTATAATGTTCCAATTTAGTATAAAATCAGATTGTGAGATTTTATAAGTTTGGTTATGAATTGTATTTACTTAATTTGGTGCACGTCATTTGTAACTAAAATTTTAGAATTTTAAAGCTCATTTCGTAGGATTATTGGCTAATTAAATTGTATACATCAGGTGGTTTTAAAGTAAGTATCTCTATTTGGAGCTGTTGGTAGCTTGAAGGATTAATCCAAATGAAACGAAACCAAAGTTGGTACACTTTTTTTACTTTGTTCCATTCTTATTCCCCTTCTTAAATAGTGCGTGTACCAATTTTGGTTTTATTTGGGTTATTCTTTCAAGCTACCAACAGCTCCAAATAGAGATAAATACCTGGTGTAATATAATATATTTTTCTATAGTTTAGCAAAATAACAATAATGAAGCAAGTTCCAAAATCTAAATATATATTTTATAAAAAATTCATTAAATATTTTCCTTATTTATAAGTAAATTATTTTTTCCTTAAACTCAAATAAGCAAGGCAGATAATGGATGCTTCCTGACAGATTTGTCTGATTTAAAATTAATCTTGGATTGTTATCTTATTTAATTTTTCAATAATAAAATGTGGTTGAGTTGAAATTTTCAATGCCTTATTTTTGAATTTTCTATTTTATTGTTTGTTTCTACTATCTTAAGTAATGTTATATCTGAAAGTTTTTGTGTATACTTTGTCTTGTTTGAGCTTTTGTTCATTCGTAAAATTCTTTAGAAACAAAGAAGTAAACTAGCAAATATTTTCAAGAGGAACCCATATACCCAGTACATAGAGAATTAAAGAGTACAGTGCTTTAAATTAATGGAGTTGTAATTTCTAATAGAAGATATCATTCAAACACTTTTGAATCAATTAATTTGTTGTTAGGAAGATTTGAAAATAGAATTGCATAATCGCGGTGCAGTTACTGACATAAATGAAACGTAGAAGACATTCCTGTTGCAACTAGGGGTTTTTGTTTTTAGTACTTGGACTTTACATGTGCTTAAAAACTCCGTGTCGGAGTCTAAAGTTTGCATATTTTTACGGCATTAAGTAGAAATTGTCAGTAAGAAATCATCAAAATATTACTAGTATAGATGTAAGGAAACAAAATGTAGTTAGTAAAGATAACTTGCTAGTTGTATTTTTTGTTTACAAGTTAATTAAAATAAAATTTAACTAGCAAATAGTTTTGTGTAAATAATGAGTCAAGTTAACTGGTACATTTTAAGTCAAATGCATAAAAAAGGAAAGAAATATTAAATGTATAACAAGAGAATTTACAAATTTTAATTAATTTGATCCAGTATTTACATTAAACTGTTCGATAGTTGTATTTTATCATACTGTAACTAATTTCTAAAGAAAAAATAAAAAATACAATTTATTATTGACAATACTTTGATATATTAATTATTAACAACTATGTTCAAATACGTTATATTTTAAAAGTGATTGTTGAACCAAAAATAATAATTGACAAATTATATTTTTAAAATTTAATCTATTATAAAATGTTGTATTTATGTTGCGCTTAAAACTTTCTAGGTCCCATTTTATTGAAGAGGGTGCGTACGGATCTGAGAAGAAAATTTTCTTCCGTGATTAACGACGAAGAGGCCATTCATAATTATTTATATCACTGCAACGCGCAAACTCCGAGGTAAATTTAAAGATGGATTACCTATTTTGGGGGGAATTTGACAATGGTTACATTGATACAATGTGTTTGTTTATAAGTAAAATTTTTTAACAAGAACAAAAGTTTAGATATTTATATTATGAGAATTTCAATAGTTTGTACACATTTGAGCATAAAAATTGACTTTTCGTCTACTGATTAATAGTGAATTCTGTCTAAAATGGAACACATCAGTATTAGCCAGAACAGATTTTGTTTTAACAGCTTTTCATTTCATAATAAGTTATTTCACCAAGTATCATCAAGAAATTATTAATTGCTATATCCCAAGAAAATCTGTGAACCTAGAAAAATGCAGATGAGTTTGGTTATCAGAGAAATACAGACTAAGATTTTTGAACTTATTGCTAAATTAGAATTTATTTTAATTGCTTAGTTCAGTTAAATGATGGCTTATCTTGCTATATATAATTTTAAAGATAATAACGTAAATATTTTATGATCCTAAGGTGTGTTGAAAACATTGAAATGTGTACAAGATTTCCAGTGCCATTTGGGTCATACATCTGTATAAAAAGTCAGTACTGACAGAACTTTATTTTAATTGTCCCGTTCCCTACAATATATCGCACTTAGTTGACGGTTAATTTGTTAACTGTTGTCAAATTACAATTTGGAACAATTTATTTTTTAGTTTTTATTTAAATATTATAATGCTGTCTAGAAAAATAATTACGTTAATTTTTATTGTTATTTGTTTTAGTAATATAGTGTGAGATCCACCGGGACGTGGAACTAAATTTACGCCGCTTACTGGCCTATTCCGTGAGAAGAGTCTCAGTCGTCAACAAGAATGGTTTTCCTATTTAATAGAAAATTGAGTGGCGGAGGGTCTTATGGTTAAGTTAGAATTTAGGGCGGAAGTTGGTGATGGCGAATTCACCTTCCTTATGTCAGGGTCCCGACACCAGTTTGTCAATTAAATTCCGCGGACAAACACATGTGTGAGATCTGATTCAAACTCAAATTAAGAGACATTTTATTTATAAATTAAATAATAATAAATTTAATATAACATAAGAAAATAAAAACTAATACAAAATATCAAATGAAGGAATGCTAGAAATGCGACAATTAAGATACACATCGAGAGAGATACTACCCTATTATGACCGATACAAGATCGAGAGAGAAATTACAATATCGGTATAAAACATACAACCTGGTTTAGTTGTCGTTCGTCTTCTTTTCTGTAGGCAAAGGATACTTTGGAGATAAAGTTCATTTACTTCTTTCCATGGGAGATCAATATGTGCACAAGATCAAAGTATAACTTCTAAGTGCTAACTCTGGAATTACTCTCTGTGACTCGTCTAAGGACGTTGGTCATCAGGAGGAAAACCTGTGGAGTCCGGACACTTCCAGATCTGTCGATGAACTCCCCGAATTCTGACAAATTTCCTCTATATGTCAAGATCGGCCAATCATCTGCCAGAAACTCTTTCATGTGAACGGATGAAAGGGGAATCAAAGAGGGGTAGTTAGTTCCCATCTGAGCGAGATTTTTAGCAGATAAGGGAAAAACAGAGGATGTAGGAACTTCCCTCAAAGGAAGTAGCATCTGTTATCTATCTTTCCTATGTTGGAAAACGTTACTTTCTCATCAAAAATGAAATAATATTTTATGACAATATTTAACACTATTAAATAGTTATTAATTTTAGACCCATGGGCCTTTCAGAACTCACAGTATTACTGGATTTTGTTTAATTTTAAGAATATTTTTAAGGTGTTTTGTTTTAAAATAACACAGTATATAATTGGATGAGACAAGTATTGACTTTGGTATCAAATATGACGATACACATGGATAGTGAAGCAGATAGATGACAGATGTACTCAGAGATTATGATTTGTGTTCGAATTAGAATGCAAATTTTGGCCAATGTTTGACTTGAATATGTCAAGACCTATCCCTTGTCACCCAGTTGCCACCCAGTCAAAATTATTTTTAAAATGCTACTGTTTGCATTTACTAATGTGATATTAACTTTTGCATTTTTCATGTTTATGGAACAAATTAATTAATTACTTAAATATTTATCTTAATTAAAAAAACTAATTTATTTATTACTAGCTGTGCTCGCAGTTTCGCCCACATGGAATTCAGTTTGTGACTATAACAGTATCAGTTAGATGTCTTTTAATTTATACAAATGTTTTAGGAATGCATACAGGACAAAAGATATTTGTTATTTTAAACGACAACAAATAGGCAAATGTTTGGCACAAGTTCGGACACGTGCACTGCCTATCTCGGCAACCGCGCGACTGCGCTGTGCAGTTACCTATCTCGTATACGTACGCATCTTGCCCCTCATCACCCGCTGACATCAAAAATATAATGCTTACCTAGATGATATCTTTTAATTTATATGAATGTTTAATGGAATAATATACAGCCTATGTCCACCCTAAAGGTCCATTCTAAATATTGGTGAAAGAATTTTTGAAATTGGATGAGTAGTTTTGGAGATTACCTCCTACATCCAAACTTACAAACTTTACCTGTTTATAATATTAGCATAGATAATAACCTATGTGATTCTGACACAATGTTAAACATTACAAACATCAACTACCTTACTACAAACAATAATGCAACAAATAAGTTTGTATGGTACCTCCTATTAGGAATTATATTTTCTTTAATTTGCATTAAACATCAAAGAAAATATTATTATTCTACTGTAAAGTCTACTCTATAGAACTGCTAAGAATAATTTTAAAAAGTGAAGATAAAACCAAATAAAAAAAAATTTGATGTCTCCACGTTGATCAATTTACATATTTAAAAGTGGGAAGGAGTCTCAAAAGAAAGGTCAACATTTCTTTAGAAATTTTTTAAGAAGACACTTGTAGGATTTTACTGAAATTTTGTGACAAGTCACTTAACTGTACAACTGAATCAGAATACAAACATTGGATTCAATTTTCTGAAACACTGAAACAAACAAAAATAGATACTGGGACTAGAGTTGCTCATTATTTCTTATTTTAATTACAACAACTTTTTATTTATTCAAAAGCATATTTCAAATGAATTTGTAAGGCTGAAGTAATTTAATTTGGATATCATGATGGGTACCAATAAACATCATTACTTGGAGCAAGAATTCAGAAACTAGTTACCATATTTTATAGAATATAAGACATGACTTTCATCCAAAAATAAAGGCTGAAACAATTGCCCTTTGTCTTGCAAAGTATCAATCTCCTATAGGCTAATGAATTCTTTAAGTCTTTGGATAACATCTACCTAACTCAACTATTGAATAAAAGTGTTAGTTTAATTAAATGTATTATGCTGTAGCCAAGCAATTTTTATGTATTTATGTAAAATATTTTAATGATAGGTTGCAAATTACTTCTTTTAAACTCCTCTTCCTTCATAAATAAAGAACACATTTTAATTTTACTTTTTTTAACCAAACAAAGGGCAAAAGTTTTCAGCCAAAGGTCTGGGATGGCTAAATTAAATACACTAAATACTTAGTTTTTGAAACATTCTTTACCAAAATGTGGGTATGTTGTGTATGCTGTAAATACAGTAATTGTTCTTGATGCATTCGTTTTACTGTATTACATATTTTTACTCTAATTGGAATCTACCTTTAAAGTTTTTAAATTTTTTTTGTATAAAAATTAATAATGTAAACTATTTACTTATATTATCTTTTTTTATATTCTAGTGGGGAAGTGGCATTTAAAGCCATGACTGGCGAATTCGGATGGGCGAAACAGCCGATGATATCACGAATCGACAGTCTGAGACCTGACGTTCCTATTACTTTCATCTACGGATCTAAATCGTGGATAGACAAACAGACTGGCATTTTAATTAAAAACAGTAGATTGGATTCCTATGTCAATGTTCAGGTAAGAAAAACTGAAATTTAACTTCAATCAAGGGTTCAATAATTAAACTTAAACTTAATTTTACTTCCACTTTCCATAACATATACCGTATTTACTCGGGTATAAGACGATCTCGCATATAGAACAAGGTGTGACTTTTAGAGATCAAAATTTTAAAAAATTAGATTTATTAATACAATTCTAATTTTATTTCGTTTAATCACAAAATATCAAATGCACACACCTATTAAGGCAAACAACCATGTTTGCTTTAATATGTGATGAATTGAAACAAAACCAAAACATTATCGCAAGATTGGAAAAAGTTTATTTTTAATGATTCAGAATGTGCTAATATTCATTAAAAATAACAATTTAACTAAAAAAAAATAAAACAACTACATTTATAATCATTGCTAAGTGACCTGTATTTCATTAATGTTTTTATAAATAACAAGAAACTATTTTCGGCGAACGAATGAGATGCAACGCTGTTTTTAATTGATGGATGTAAGATTAAACCAATAAACAAAGGGATGTATGTCTTAATTTGTTTACAGTAGGTGCCAACTTATGATAAATAGACTGTAGACCTATAATGACAGCATGAAGTAAACATGGTTCACAGAAATTATTGCGAAAATGCAAAGAATCCTTAGTTTGCGCGTATAAGACGACCTAGGTTTTTGAAGCAGTGAAAAATGAATAAAAACCTCGTCTTATATGCGAGTAAATATGGTATATTGCGAAGGCATGCAATCATTTGTATAGATTGCATAGGAGTGTATTTTGAAGACTGACACTAAATTGAATCATTACTGTGAAAAGTTATTTTTACGTATATAAATTCTGTCCCTAAAACGTAGTAGTTACACCTTGTGTGTGTGTGTATATATATATCAAACTTTCACTGATGTAGAAAATTTATGTCTCGTTAAGAAAGTAATACAATCAAGTGCAAAAACATCCACCAAAAGAAAAAAGAAACAAACTTTGTTAACAAACAGTAACTCGTCTTTAATAGTTTAAGTATTTTCAGTTTTGAAGGCAAAAATTATTAGAATTTTTGAAATCATTTCTGTTAAATAAAATTTGTAACTACTGTATACTTAATTAAATAGTTAAGCCAAAGGATAAAATGGAGAGAGAAGACTTACAGAATGTAAATAGAAGATGATTGTATGTTTGAGGTGATTAAGTCAATTGGCCTGCTGCACCAGGAAATTTGGTATAAATCTGGGCAAGCAAGTTCTCTGGGAATATTTTGGGGAACAGTTGGTCCTCAATATATTGAGCCCCTTTTCTCTTACTTCCCATTACAAGCTTGGCCAAACCTGTGACGGATATGGAAAAATGCTCTGTTAGTGCTCACGGGAAAGATGGTTTATAAAGTATTGCCTATAGAAGGTATCTTAGATCAAAGGAAATGTGTGTCAACCTGAGTAGTAGGAAAATCTTGAGAAGAAATTAGTTGAAAGAATTAGACTTTTATTAATTATAAAACATATAAAACCAGAAATACTTTCAGTATATTTTCAATATCTAAATATCTACACAGGATGAATCTGTTTAAAATTTATTACATATTTTTAGTTAAATATTATGAAAACAGTTTTATCTCAAGACTATTTTTAATTTTGTCAATTAATGTATAAATCTGAGATGTTATTGACTTTTGTAACCATTATCAATAACTTTTCAAGTATTAATCTAAGATACAAAACCCAAATGATGTTTTTGGAGACTAGAATTTACTCTTGTCCAAACTGTTGAGTACATGTAGCTGTTTAAAAAGTCAGAGGTTTCTGTGTTTACTTTCATAGGTTATGCTAGAACAATAGTATAAATTATAATAAAATTAAATGAAATTAAGTAGAAAAAAGAAACCTGTACAAAGTATAATGTGTTTGCTTGCAAAATTACGACAAAAGTTAATACTGTAGTCCCAATTATCCGAGGTAAGGTAGGTCGGAGTAGTGGGAGAATCTTAAAAGCCATTGCAGAAAAAATAAACGCCTGCACCTGCTTAAGAGTCCATATGCTCAAGATAGAAGAACCATGTTTATTTCTACCAGAGCTCTGTTCTAGAGATTTTCGCTTCTTTGCAAATCATTGCCCCGAGGGCTGGGAGTGCCGAGCGAGTGGGAGAAAAGGACGACCCCTTTACGTAACGGTCGGCATCCGTTCAAGTTTGTTTGTTTAGAGATTTGATGGCCACCACTAGGGATACTTGATTAATCAAAAATTAGGATAACAGAAGGTGTGGTTAAAAAGTGACTTACAAAATACAAGAATGTTGTTCTAAAATTATTTTACAATGATTATAATTAAAACTTCTTTCATCTTTCTTAAAATTCATACTGTCACGAGAAGTCGCCAGAGTAAATTATTTTTAAAACTTCTAACACAGTCCAAACTGTACTGTACAAAATATTTTTGTTTTTATTGACAAAATACTCGTCCATAATTCATATTAGTTAATGTGGAATTCAAATAAGAACATTAAGAGGGCTTTTTTGATCTTACTCATCACGAGTTTTGCCAGGGTGACAAAGGGTAAGGCCCGACATACCCAGAAAAGACGGCCCATAAAAAATTCCCAGGAGTTGCCGGCCCAGATTCTATCCCGGGTTCCTCACGGCGGCATAACGGTCCCCTAGCCACCTCGGCCATCCGGCCTTCAACGGAGATCATCCTACACACAACAGAGTTTGATCTTTTAACACCAAAAGTATGCAATTTAAATGAGCCAGCATTAAAAAGTAGAATAATTTAATACTTCAGAAATTTAACTCCAGAGCTGAAAATTATAAAATGTTTTTATTGGAGTAAAATTATTTACATCTCTCACCCGAAAATGAATAAGCCAAGCTCCAAGTGGTTTGAGTTGTGAATATTTTAGGTTTTACTCTCGAAAAGCGTTTATTTTTCTAAATTTTATTAAGTCGTAATGCAGGAGATTTAGATTATTAGGAATATAATTAAATTTAATTTATTAAAACTTATATCTGAATATTTTCAAGAAATTAACGTGAAGAATCGTATCAAAAAAGCTCATCAGAAACTAACTAACTCCGGAAATGTCGTGCATTAATTTAACGTCATGGTGTTTTCGATGGCGTAATTTCCGGCGGAGTTGCGAGATTCGACTCACTTAATCCCAAATACAAACTGTAATTAGTAATTAAAAGTCGTTTTTGAATGAGTGTTTACAAAATGTCGGAAGTGGATCGATTTTAATTACAAAGAAAGCCGTTAATTTATACATTTCATTATAAATTAATTACAATGTAGGTCGGAGGTGTCTTTCCCAAAAATTTATACGAATTTCTAACAGTATCCTTCTTTCTCGGATATTTAAATTTGAATGTTGTCGGCACTCGACCGATCGAATCGTCGTTATCGAAAGAGGTAATAAGACGTCGATTGGTCGAAGAGTAAGCGTGTCTCGGCGACGATTGGCCGAGGAATGAATCCACTTCTGAATACTTGCGTTTCGTTTCAGGTGATACAGCGTTCGGGTCATCACGTGTACGCCGATCAACCCGATTACTTCAACAGATTAGTTCGCAAGATCTGCAACACCGATTGGCAGACCACGACGGGGAGGGTCGATAGCGAGACCGAGCCCAGCAGCGCCGACGAGAACGCCCCCGAACGGGAAAGCTCAGAATAATTTAGATAATCTTCCATCGTCCCCGTTCCGAGATACTATTAAATAGTATTGTAAATAACTGTCTAGACATTCGAGTCTTTAAGGTAGACTACGTCATTCCCGAGAGGCTGTCGAGCCGGTTACCCGGTTACTTCTGCACTCCGATTACGTCATCGTCAAAAACTACCTCGCTTACGTCATCGGCGAAAGCGGGTTTCTCGGTCGGCTCGATCCTCCTCTTCGCCTCCAGGTAGAATCGGATATTTTCCCACGGCAGGGAATTTCCCTACAGACGAAGCTGTTAGATTTTGAATAAATTTTAACCCGAAAATCCGAGCTTGAATGTAACGGAGTTACGTAATCAGTGTTGTGTATCTCGATGTGTGACGTCACTCGAAAAGATTCTTTACGTGTTATTGTATACGAAACGTGCATTACAATAAATGTGTTAATGTTACCTGCGATGGTAGTCACTTAATCAAAATATTACGCCGCCATCTTGTTAAAAAAAATGGCGCCCGATCGAACGTAAACCAATCGCTGAATTTTCTCCTATAATTAATTAATCTACTGCAAGGTATTATTTATTGTATATCCTTTTCCGTCGACCTTCGTAGAGTCGAAGGGTGGTTTAAACGATTTATTTTTCCGGGTCAAGGAACCAATCGATTTTGCCGTTTCGTCCTTCGTATCGATCCACTTTAAATGAATATTTATAGTTGTAGTTAACTGGAGTTCGGAACGTCTGATAACCGTTGCATTATTTTTCAACTGTAAGATAGACTCCACTTTATTCCACCATCTTATTTCAAAATGGCGGACGTATCGACTATTACGGCCGGCAATTTGAAACGATTTCGCGACAAACCGCTTCTTCCTCGTCTAAAAGTTGTAAGCCACGTGATCTTTATAAGTAAACACAGCGAATTATTTATAGTTTGCATTATAATCGTATATCTTGATATACACGTTGTCCTTGAGTCGATGCAGATTTTACCAGGGGAGAATACCAGAATACAATAGAATCTTCCCAGACATCGTCACGTTGTTGCGGTTACATTTTGTTACATAATAATTCGTGCTCCATTATCTTTGCCCGGGCGTGTTAATCTCTTCGTGACGAGTTGCAAATTGAGGTTTCGAGTTTTTAATCTCTACGATTGTCCAGTAAGTTGCCGTTTACGTACAGATTAATCTATCAAACTACGTAGAATTGTTACGCTACGTGCGTAATTAATAATTTAAATGGTAACATTTACACCGTGTAACCTCTAACACAAAATACAAGCGCGGTAACACCGGAATGGATATAAAGTATGGAAACAACCTGTCGTCTCTCCATTGTTTTGTTTAGTGATTTTGCCTTTTAGCCAAGTTTCTAGAGAGATTTTTTCTTGGCATGTAAAAGTAATTTAGAAATAATACGTCATACAAGATTATTTGTTTTTCGTGTTACTGGTTATGTTTGCCAGGTGTTGCAATTGCCATTGATTTATTGTTATTGGTACTATATCCTTTAAAACGATGTGGTTTGTCATTTAGTAAAATCACTGTTTTCATTACCATTACGTATTAATTTGTTCACTTAATCGTTAACCCGTTACCTTCTGACAGTTCGTACAATGTAGAAAGAAGGGTGGTGATCATAAAATTACTTATTTTTCAGAAATAGCACCCGTAAAATGATCCAAACCTCGCGAATGTTTGGCATTTTTTCTACGTACACGAAATGTCTTAAATAGACGAGATGAGAAAGCATTTTAAAATCGGTAGTAGTAGTTACGCTTACTAATCTTGTTTCCGCGGTAATTAAGTGACTACTAAAAAAAATGAATGGAAAAAACTAGACAATGAAGAAATCTAGATATAACACACATTTAGGATATTTCTTTAAATGGTGACATCACCAAAGTAGCGAGATAAACACTGTTTTAATTTACGTTAGTAGTCTGTTAGTATATCGAAGTACACCTATAATAAAGATACAGGAAGCTTTATATTGCAACCAATTAAAAATGTCAAGGACGTACAAAGGAACCTTATAAGAACTATAATTGTAACCTAAACCCGTGCAAAATTCAAACGAAAGTGTGTTACCAAAGTCTCCATCTGTTTCCCACGAAACGTAACTTTTCCCGCTATTTCTTAACCAAACCAAATAATACATTTGTGTTTGTGGAGATTTGTTTGCGTGTTTATCCTTGGCTACACTTAAAATAACCGTAATGCCCATTTAATTTCTAAGTATGGCCTTCGTGTGGACACCACAGATACACCTGTCGATAATTAATAGCCTAAACGGTGATAATTCGAAAGTTTTCATTTAAATTTAGTATCTTTAAATAGGAGGAGCAAATCGCTCTTCTGCACTTTAAGGTCAAGTTCTGCGCTCTTGTGAAATCTTCGAAACACGATCCAGAAGATTGCATCCCGTTTTACAACGTAATAGACAATCTTCTGGATCGTGTTTCGCAAGAAGGTCCATCGACGATATTTAAAGAACCTTCGGTTTTTAAATGTAAACTTTGGAAAGTGGTTTTAAGAATTTTTATAGATGCAGTATTGCGCATTGTGTTTTCGACTGTACGACTGGATCCTCGATGGGGGTGGATCGTTTAAAACAATAAGAATTCCTTGGCCTTTCGTCTTTGAGTTGTAAAAATGTGTAAATCACATAATTAAAGACGAATAAACCATAACAAGGAAAGTACTACAAATGAAATTAGTAGCCGTGGTTCCGTAGTTTTATCTTCCTAGTCGGGAAGATTACCCCGCTGTGTTTTCACTCCAGATTAGTGTTTCGATCCAAATAGCCTCGAGCAAAAGACAATAGGGGGTGTAATTTATAAAATTAACAAGCAGCAATTAGTTTGCATTAATCTAAGATAATATAAAGGTGTAAAAAGCTGTACATTACGCACGAGGCGCTTAATTGTACAAAATCCAATTAGTTAATTTTCAGGCTTTTAGCGAACGGATTAATGCCTTTTACTGATAATGTGGGAAGCAATAAAGACTGCAATTAACATTTTAATTTTATTGACTCAGATGCTAAAATATGACTTATTAATTAATATTAATACACCCGGTATCGTCCTCGCCTAGAGAGCTATCGCCAGAACGAATTTGTATCCCTCTGGTGTCGAATAATGGCCCGAAAATAATTAATTTTTTAAGACTTTAAAATCGTCCTTCTAAATTGTTTCCTAATAATAGAAAATGGCCTACTAAAAGACAATTTAAATAAAGGAAAATTTTATTTGAAAAAATATCTAAAATACGATAATTTTTGTCATCGACCTACTTGTGAAAGAGCTTTTACGTATTAAAAAAATAATTATAAAAATACAAATTTAGATTTTTACAGATAAATAATTCATTACGTTTTAAGTCGAGCAGATACGATAAATCAAAATATCGTTTTTTAATGGTGTATCATACAGCCGGAAGGTTCCGGATTCGATTTCTCTTTTGAATTCTTCAATCAAACTTCACGTATTTATTGGAGTAATTATATAAGAGGAAATGTACGTTAATATAAAATTATTAGAGATTAACACGCTAATTACTTATGTTAGACCTCGAGCATCATTAATACTGTTAGATCCAAAGGAAATAAAGTAAAACGATCAAACCGCCTCCCTGGTAAAAAATGTAAATTAATCTGTTAGTTATAAATTTCTACGACAGGAGGTGCTGTCTTCGATTTACCCCGACATCTGTTCGCTAACTCGTGTACCGAAATTTCAAAAATGGCGACCGCTCAAAAAATAACGGTGGAAATTTCTATAACAAATCATTAATAATGTCGTGGCGGTCGTAATTATTTTCGTGTTTGACGCGCACCTTTACCGGAAACGGAAATAATAACAAAGTTATAATTAACGAGCGCATAGAGAGACTCGAATATTTACTCTACCCTTACGTCATTTCCGACGGAGGCGGTGTCGAAGCCGAGCAAACCAATGGGGGAGCGATCATCCGGGAATGCGCTCGGCGGTTCGCGGTCCTCGGGGGTATGGAAGGAACGCGACAGTGCAGTAGAGACATGGGGTTGTTCGGTTGCGCGTGGAGGCTCTCGCTGGTGGTGTTATTGTTCGTATGTCACCGAGTGTCGTGCTCTTCCGAAAATCCGAGCGAATCGGAGAGGTTTCGAGTGGCATCCGTCGACTTTGCGCACGTGTCCACCCCTTTCATTATTTCGCTATGGATCGTCATCGCCGGACTGGCCAAGATAGGTGAGTTTCTCGTGCCATTACTTCTAATTCGAGATTGGGAGGAAAGACATCGTCGTCCCCATCCTCCCATTCATTCGCCGCTTACCTTTTTATAATTCTTGCCCCCCCACTGCCACGTGCCTGAATAAACGAAGACGACTCATAAGGCATTTGCAACCACGTGATCGGGGTACGGAAGAAAAACCGAACTCGTTCGTTCCGCGTGACAACCGGTCTGACTACCTGTCGACGTCGTCTCCTCCACTTTTCGGGATAGGAATGCGCCCTTCGCCCTCCCCTTCAGCTTTCTTCGGCCCGTTTCCGACTCGACATCGCTTCCGGGTCGATCTCGCACTCCGGATCGGGTTCCGGTGGGTGGAGAAATCCGTCCGTCGCTCGGCATCCTCCATCCGGTAAGGACACGCGACGATCACGTGACCGGCGGTCTAACCGGTTCCGTGTCATTATTTATTACCACCGGTTCCAAATAGCGACGAAATATTACGTTTTCGGGTCCGCGGTCTGAAGTTCCTCAAAAGGTGGTACGCGGTCAATAATTTGCTAAATGCGCATACTGGAAAGTATATTTATAAAGTATCAAATAGTAGAACGCGAACTACAGCTTGGAGATATCGACTATAATTCGTCTTCATTCGAATCGCCGTTTCATCTTATCTATTTACTGTATAGTACACTCGCACGTGGATTTCTGCGCATATTTTTGCATTACTTGGGAATTTCTGATCTACGTACAAATTATATGGCGGAGCTTTTTCGCGACGTAGTTTCCGGTTTCGGATCGAAATTTGGCCGAGAATTCGGAAGTGACGTCACCGGCTTCGTATTCCCACAGCGCGTGACGTTTTCGAGTTACGGTCGAGAGCGTATCGATCGCGACTTCTCACGTTTCGGCGAGTCTCTCTCCCCGTCGACATCTTTCCAATCCGAAAATCCTCACGAAAGATTCGAAATTTCCAAAATTCAAATCGATTACGTTTACATCCTCCATCGATTCTCTTGGTATAACGATCGATTATCGATCGATCTTCAAAATTAAAATTCCTTCTCGAGTGTCTCGTGACGTGACGAACATTCACGCGCATTTTTGTCAAACCAGTGACGCCAACGTTCTCCGTCCGGCTGCACTAACGTTATCGTCACGCGGCAAACGGATTTATTTCCTGGTACCGCACGCGCTCACCAGCAGGCACGTGCTCGTACCGGTTTCCTTCTAACGTCGGCGGTAATTAAGATTTATTCCCGTTTTTTACGGAAATATTTCTCGATTTAAAAGGGATAATTTTGCTTCACGCGCGCCACGAATTCGTACCATTAACTGTACCGTGTTTGGTGCAGCGGCCAACAAAAGCTTATGCGTAATAAAAATGAATCCGGGTGTTCCCATTGTTTGCTTTGTTCGCCCCATTTTTTAACCATTGTGTTTACTGCCGTACGCAATATTTAGCGCTATTTTAAAGCGTATTGTCGTTCAGATTGTTTCTACGATAAAAGCCCAATAATTTCCCTTACGTAACGAACTTCGGTATAGCGTCACCCGAACATTAATTTTGAAATTATTAATAGCGTTAGTATTCGACGGTTCCCGGTTAATTACACCCGAGATCGTTAAATGTAGGCCGAGTCTACGAAATTAACCTGATTTTAGCGAATTTTTCCAGTGAAAACGTTTTTAAATCGATGCAGTTCCTCGAAGTGCAAAAAAAATTGATCTCCGGGGTCGATAAAACGGGGGAAAACACGGGAAGATTCGTTGTATCGTCGTATTCGATTTACCTTCGAAATTACGAAAATTGCTTTTCATTGTTTAATCGTCACCAAAAATGACAGAGGCTCATTAGTTTGTTCTGTGTATAATGAGCGTAGCAATTGTTTAATTAAACTGCGAGAGAATAGAATAATGTACTAAATACGGCCTACCAGACTTTAAGTTCGAGAAACACGACACTTTCCTTCTCCGTTTCACTTACTTAAATATAACAAAGAAGAATGCCCCGTGTTTCCGTTTGTTAAAAGCGTATTTGGCCAATCGCGTGACAATTGCTAGAAATTCGGCCATCGAGTTTTCCCGTTTCCTTACCGGAAGTCGCTCGAATCTAATGTATATTTAGCAGATTACTCGTGTTGTTTCGTGTTTATCTCGGAGATCGTTTCTTCCGTCGTGTGGTGTGTTTTCTGGCTGTGGAAGAGGTGCCAAAGGGCGTGTAACCGATACTTTTCTTACCTTGGGTCGTGTTTTACGCGACACGCCCCTCATACCTGCGTCGGAATTTCTCGTTTATTAATTATTCCTGAAATTCTTTTTCACCTTGAAAATCCTTAAAGAGGAAGGAAACTCTCTGTTTTTCTTTGTTTCGCGTATTTATGGCTTGTTCCCCCTCTCGAATTCTTATACGGGATGTTCGTAAAGCGCTCGACTGTGTGGATTTCCAGTGTTTTACTGGTGTTATTTAAATTATAAATAATTGCTATAAATTTTCCATCGATTTTTGCTAAATTTAAGCTCAAAATCGAGGGGGGAATCCGAAATTATACGAATTTGGCATTTTAAATCATTAAAAAAAGTTATAGTCGGATTATCGGAGGAAGATACTAGTACTGTAATTGCTATTGTATCTGTGGTAACGGGCGGGTTCATTCTAAGACAAGTACTTTTATAGGAAGTTGGCGTCAAAAATTACTAATGTGCAAATATTTTTAATTGTTTTCCTATTGTTTACTGCAAAACGTTTATTCTTAAATTTCCTATAAATATTTTATTTTAATAATTATTTAGGAATGTCCTTAAAATACAGTAATCTCACTTTTATTATGTTACGTGATAACAGATCTCTCTTTACGTGTTCTCCACCCGTAAACCCTTTTCTACGTAATAAAGAGCACGCGGAGCGGGAACACAACTTTATCACGTGATAAAGAAATTTAAAGCCGAACACAATAGCGAGAATACAAATATAGAAATCGAAGAGCATCGACACGTGTTTCACTCTTCTATATTCGAACAATACCAATAATTTGCGTTACGCTCGATGTGTTTCGAGCGTGTCTAACTATCCACGTGCTTCGGAACCGTTCATTTTATTCGCGGGTGTGACACAATTTCTTCCCCCTTCCCCGCGTAATTACGGGTGGTGATAAATCGAAGCTGGATGAGCTTCTCGGAAAACAAAGTCCTATTGCGTTTTCGCCCCCTCTTCATCGATATCCCCGGATAACTTCCAAAAGAGAAAAATAACCCTAGACGATGACGTCACTCTTTTCGTTACAGGTTTCCACGTGACTCCACGAATATCGTTGATATGCCCGGAAAGCTGCCTGCTGATCGTCATAGGGGTGATCATCGGCTTCCTGCTACACTACACGGGATTAACGCAGGTGGGGCCTCTGACCCCCGACGTCTTCTTCCTGTTCATGTTGCCACCCATCGTGCTGGACGCGGGTTATTACATGCCGAACAGACTCTTCTTCGATAATTTGGTCACTATCCTGCTCTTCGCGGTGATTGGCACCGTCTTTAACGCTCTGTCGGTGGGCCTCTCCTTGTACGGGGTGGGCCTGACGGGCCTCTACGGCCTGAAATTTCCTCTGCTCGAGGCCCTACGTTTCGGTGCCATCGCCTGCGCGGTCGACCCCGTGGCCGTTTTGGCAGTTTTCGAGGAGATCCATGTCAACGACGTTCTCTATATCGTTGTGTTTGGGGAGTCTCTACTCAACGACGCCGTCACCGTGGTGAGTATTCTCTTTCATCGATCGTTCTCCGATCGGGGACACTGGCCAGGTGCGCTACACGAGTCCTATTACATTCTCAGGTGTTGTATCACATGTTCGACGAGTACTCCAAGATGGGACAAAACATCATTCCCGTAGACTACGTGGCGGGCGTGTCGTCATTTTTCGTGGTGGCCGTGTGTGGCACTCTGGTGGGCATCGTCTGGGGTTTCCTGGCAGCCTTCGTTTCCCGTTTCACCCATCACGTGCGAGTCATCGAACCCCTCTTCGTCTTCGTTATGTCCTACCTGGCCTACGTCAGCGCCGAACTCTTTCACCTGTCCGGAATTTTAGCGTGAGTAGGACGCATTCGTCCGGGATTAAACACTGCCACGCTTCTCACCTTTAAATTAATCGATTGCAGGTTGACGTTTTGTGGCATCACGATGAAAAATTACGTGGAAGAAAACATATCCTACAAGTCTCACGTCACGGTGAAATACGCCATGAAGATGTTGGCCAGTTGTTCCGAAACCATTATCTTCTTGTTTCTCGGAGTGTCCACCGTCAACGATAATCACGTGTGGAACACGTGGTTCGTAGTCATGACCATCCTCTTCTGCACCGTGTACAGGATCGTCGGTAAGTGTCCGGTGTCTTTAAGGCGCGGATTCGAATCTCGTATCTAAATCTTCCCTTCTGTTATCCGCAGGAGTGATGTTGCTGACGGCAGTTGCCAACCATTTTCGACTTCACAGGTTGAACAGGGTGGAGCAGTTCATCATGGCTTACGGGGGGTTGAGGGGGGCAGTGGCCTTCGCCCTCGTACTCGTCGTGTCCAACGAAGGGCCTACCAAAGACATGATGGTGACTACCGTCATCGCTTTGGTCTACTTCACCGTATTTGTACAGGTGAGTGTCGATTTGTCACGCGATACCGCGTGTGCGCCTTAATTACTTCGTGTAAACATCTTAATAACAATAAAGTAGCCTAAACGCGCAAATCTTGGTGTAGGCGAGCGCAAACCTTAACTCGGATCGAACCGTTCGAAAATTTAAATTTGGTCGACCAATCGGGAGCGAAGAAACACATTTTTGTTCTGTTACGTCAGTTTTTAATATGTAAAACCCAACCTTATAGCATCTTCATTCGTACTTCGCAAATTGCCAAATTCTCGTTTCGTACGAATCGGCGACGGCAAGTTTTATAGATTTAGGGTGAAATTTTCGCGTGTGGTGATATTTCGGTGTTAATTAAATGACTTGTAAACAACTGGGAGTGGTATTCGGTTGCATAATTTACACGCGATATTAATTACGTATTTAAATATACGTGGATGAAATTTATTCGCATCTGTATACGAGTCGTACGCAAACTCTCGTATGGGACGTAAGACGTTACGTGCAAATTTCCTTCTCGTTCGGCCAATTATTGACCGGGAAGGGACACTACTTTTAGAACAGAGAAGATCGAAGATAACATTGGGGAATTTGGTTGGAATCTTACCAAAATCATAAAAGTTGCGAGCCGCAACTCCTCGATAAGGCACAGCGTAAGACGAGATCGTCACCGAAACGCTCTACCGACGCCTACGGCACTTAAAATAGTAACCCTGGTGTTACGTATTTTTATCACCTGTAGATGCTACTGCCGTTTTTCTGAGCGTTTATCATCAACAGATGCGAAATAATTAAAAGTTAAGAGGGGTGCCAAGTGCAATCTGTTGTTCTGTCTTCCACAGATTTAGGCCAAGTGCAAATTCGTTTTTTATGGTCGCGACCTTACGTCGTTCGAATCTACAATTAGACGTCTGGTCTGGCCGCGGGAGGGCGAGATCTTCTTTCCCCGTTTCGAAGGACCTGTTTTCTTCAATTACGTAACAAAATGTGTTTTCGAACGATTGGAGACGCCGGTTTTCCTCGCGTGACGTCGAGTCGATACTTTGTGACGTGGGGTACGGCAGGGTCGAGGACGATTCTCATCGATCCCAGCGTTTAATGTACCGTGTTAGGGTACTTGAAGTGACGAGCGTCTCGTAATCGTCGTGTAGTGGTTTTTATGGTCACTCGATATTTTCCTCCTCCCATTGTTGTTTCTCAAAGGGTCATTTGTAGCGAGACAATAGAAGGAAACCATAAACACTTCTCGAAAATTTTTACCAATCTCTAAACTGACGTCACAATTTAAGTAATTTTTACATTTGCAGGGTATGACCATTGGTCCTTTGGTGCGTATTTTGAACGTTACGAAAAGTAGTAAAGTGAAGCCGACCATGAACGAAAGAATTCACACTAGGGTAAGCGTGGCGCGTAACATTTCTCCCCTAAATCTCCGGGGTTGTCACGTGATTAAAATCGAATCAAATTTCAGCTGATCGATCATCTGATGGCCGGCATCGAAGATATTACGGGACAAATCATGGGAAATTATCATCTCAGAGACAAGTGAGTTCCATTTTACTTAAGTGTTAGTCATAAATGGGGTTGTTGAGTCTATAACTACCTTTTTAATTATATTTATTGTACAAACTTTGATGCGATGGTATATTATTATGTACAAACTGAAATTTTAACTTCCTTCCGGCGCAAAAGATCCATCGTAGTTTATTTCCGAAAGCGTTTCCTGTTTCCTGTCAAGTATGAGATAGCTCCGTTACGAAATTCCCCAAATATACCCCGCAACAATGAATAAAAATGTCGGACTTAAGGGGGGTAGAAACTGGCGAATTCGTTAAAGCGGGGCTTACAAAAATTCGAAGTTAGGAATAAAGCTTAAGCACGTGGTAATCAAACACGTTCCCGTGTAATTAATTACAAAGGTGGGAAATTCGACGTAACGCCACCCATGGTCACGGCGAGAATATCTTTGCATTTAGTGCACTAGTAATCTGCCGGTGACGTAATTGTGACACCTCCGTCACGTGACGAAGGGAAGCCTACATCTCTAGTGTGACGTCGCGTGATTAGTCCTTGGTAGTGTTGCCACCCGCTATTCTATTCGGGAGGTGGTTAATGCGTCGACCTTCGACCCGATCTACTTCCGTCTTATCGCGTGCGGCGGCAATCTACCGGAATTACATTGGGAAGCCGAAAATGTAGGTTAATCCCTTCGGCGCACCCCGAGGCACATTAACAATAGGGTGCTTCTCCGACAGATAGATAATGCGCGAGTTAATCACAAATTAACAATCGGGAATACTTCTAAAAATAATAATGGCGAGTGAAGTGTCGCAAGCACCTCGTTTAACGTTCGTCACCGTTCCGTCTCTAATGTTAGTGTTCCATTTAGAGCATTGCAACGCGCTCCATATTGTACAGGGTCGGTCTGTAGTATATCGGTGAACACTAAGAAATTGTAATTTAGTTTTTTTAAATGCGCTCCGTTCGGCTTCGACACTATAGCTATTTAGTGTAGAGCACTATTTTGTACCATGAGCAAAAAGAGCGGATTGTCGCCTTAGTGTTTAGTGGGTTAGGACTAGTAAACGAGTCCAGAATGCTTTGTTTACCAGTCGTCACCTGGAAATATTCGCTGATAAGAAACCGGAAACGAAGGTCATCCACCGCTTTATAATCCGGGAAGTAAAAATATGGTGGAACGATTTTTTTCTCCGAGGTACACCGCTTCGGTTTTTATCTTCTCTGGTGTTTCCACGAACAATCGAAACCGCAAAGCAGAAAACTTTCGTTGTGTTGTAGTCACTACGAATTCGCGACTAATTAATCAATTTACGGTCTCTTCCATTGTGTCTTCTGTTTCAGATTCAAGTATTACAATAACAAATACCTCCGCCCATTGTTGCTCTGCGATCACGTGGTGGCCGAACCCAAAATCTTCGAGACTTACTCGAAATTGAACATCGCCGATGCCATGAGCATGGTTAAGAACAACGTTTCGATGGCAGCGCACGAAAATGGCTCCCTGGCTCACGTCTTCAGGACATTCACGCGAGCCAACTTAGCGGAGGGGTGAGTGAATCTCCACCCGTTAAATTGGGAAATGTGTAAATTTTATGACGTTTCTTGTGTTTCGTTTCAGTTTCGGAGGAGGTCGCGACAATCCTTCTTTCGATCGTTCGTCTTCTCGTCCCGATTTTCTCAACGTCGACATGGCGGAACTCAATTACTCCCCCAGTTACAAAGACGTGGCGGATGCGGAATTGCATCACATCCTATCCGACGCCATGTTTAAACCTCCGAGAAGGGTAAGTGTCGTTTTCTGTTACGTAATCGCTCTTGTAATCAGAAAAGCGACCGTCTTAGGGATTTCGTTTAAAAACTAAAAATAATAAATCCCGCGGTGGTCGACGGTACTTTCCTCTGTTTTTCATCGTCACGCTCGGCAGATAATTGCTGCGGGTTGTTAACCCGTAACAATGTGAAAAAGTTGGAGTTACGACCGTAAACATCCCCCACGTCCCGGTAAGACACTAGTCGAATCGACCAACGGTGGAAACGTTAAATCGATTCCTGTAATTAGCGCCGTAACGTCGACTGGTGATGAATTTTGGCAATGCGTTTCCGTACATTCCAGATCCAATTTTCAGTTAAAACGACGAGGAAACTGTTCCGACGGCACGGAACGAAGGAAAATTTGCCGGAAACGACCCGGTTACTCCATTAAAAATCCCCGTTTCCTACAATTTTTATGTTTCTGTGCAGGTTTTGATAGCCAGTAGTTGGTTTCCAACTGCGTAAACATTAATTTCGACGTCACTTACAACTAGTGACGTAAGTAGGTAGGAAAATGTCACATCGATATATTTTTAAAACAAGAAACTTGGGAATATAACCGTTAAGTGTAATTTAATAGCGAAACGTTTCTTTGATCGATCTTCCCGTCTTAAAATAGACCAAGATGGCGGACGGTCGAATTCCTGCATCTAGCGCAGTTCTTAATTACTTTCGCCAATTGAAGACCCGAATAGTACCTTACGTTACAGGAAGAGGACCGACAAAAAAAAGGCCAATATCTGGCTGTCACTTCGCAATAACTCGGTTAGAATCGTGTTTAGAATTTATCGGATAGATGCTTCGGGGTATTGCTGATACCCTAGAATGATACTGTTACAATACAACAAATACACTTACTCTTATCGTTATAGAAAAGTAACTGATAACGGTAAGAATGCCAACCCCAACTTTTTCTACAACGTTAGTTCCATGAAAATACCGTTCTGTGTGTGAAGCAGAACCATAAAAATTTTGTATTTAATTGTATGTCACGTGATTAAATACATAATTTGGATATTGATCCCGTATCGATTAAGGAAATTTGAGACCCTCAAAAAAGAAGTCGTCAGCCAGTGGCATAGCAGATAAAACTGCCAAACGTTTGGTAGCTGCTTGAGGGTTGGCATCCTATCAACGAGCGTGCCATTCAGTTTTCTGGATTTTCTTCATCCGTCTAACACCTAAATAGGGTCCAGTTTCCACGTAGCCAGTCTTTCCGAGAAACGTCCGTTCCCCTTAGCAGATTGCCCATGTGTTGGGTTGCTGTGTCCCAATATCAACCAAACCAATTACATTCGGCACCAGACCTTAGTGAAACTGCAAATGATACTATGTTCACACTGTTAAATAGAATTTTAAATATGTACTTCATTTGTAAATTCACATGTAAATAATTAAGTTGGCCTGTCCGTGCTCTATACAAATGCCTACTTTTCCTAAGCCTAAGTCCTGCTTTGGGTACAGTAATTATTTCTGTTATTTTCAAATATTGCTACGTCGTCCCGAATCTACACCTCTGCAAACGTTAAAATGCTACGTCTTTGCATTTAGCGTTTGCAGAGTTTATAAAATGAGCTTGTGCCATTTAGTAAGCCTTTGCGTCGATTAAGCGTAAAGCACGAGTTCCCTATGGCAAGGTCAAGATTTTGGCGGGTTAGATTTATGACCCAAACAGTCTGCAACGTAAGCAAAATGAGAATTGCAATTATTAAAATTGAAAGCAGTTCTGAATGGTTATCGGTAGCCATTCTGTGTTCAATTTATTAGAAATACTAAAGTGTAGCATGCCACAAACAAATCATTTTGTCAAACCATCCACCTTTATGCAATTGTACAAACAAACAATTACTTGTGATACTAACTTAGTTTAAGAATAAATTGCTTCTAGTACCAAAAAATATTACCAACTGATCTTCCAAAATAAATACTGTATTAGATTTTTTTTAATTCTAATGGAATACCTGAGAGTCTACAATAAGAAATGATTCATTTCTCTTATTTATAATAGAAAAATTAGTTGTTATTCATTCTTAAATATAAAATAGTTATGCCATATAAGAACCGATTGCCAACATGACGTGGTGAGACTTCAAACGATATTTTAAATTTGGCCCGGTGCTTAGGATTTATCAGTAAATTACACAAAACCTTTGTTTTTGCCGTTTTGAAATAATGCAATAAATTTAATTTCTTATCCTCTCCGAAGTAAATTGCTCACAAATGACACACTTTTGAAGTACTTTGAGCAATTACAGAAATAAAAAAGCTATTACTATTCTCTAACGGTTTATACCCCAATTCTAGATGATGTGCCTCCTCTTAATGCCTTTAATAAACTAGAAAGACAACTCTGGATGGCTTATTGTTTTTTTCTTTTATTTCCTTTTAATAACTTATTAGATTTGCAAAGTTTAATGTAATGCGTGATCAAAGTAGATCATTCAATATGTCAAAGTGATTGTGTTGCAGTGTCGCTAAGCACTTTATGCCAAATAGTGTTTGAAAGTTTCATATTTTTATATAAGTTTAGACGAAATCTCTTTGCGTCCCACAGTTCGAGTAACATTGCTCTAGTGTGTCGGAACGAATGACAAAATACATCAAACGTTAACGTTGAGTATACTGTACCAACTATGTTAATTTTTTACAAAACACACTTTATAATTCATTTTTTCTTTACAATAGTTGTAACAGTTGTATAATTTCTAATCTGATGATACCTTTGATATTTTCCTATTTTAACGTCAGTTAGTTTTATAGTATATTGGTTCATTTTCCAGTTTTAAAATATTGTATTTATTATTATCTACAAGTCTACTTGTTGTCGGTTAATCGTACGTTGTAACTTCTGATAAAAGTATTTGAGAAAAAACTCCAACTACGGTTTCTTTCTTTTAAGATTATTGAATTATTTTGATTTCTTGATGGTGATTAATTTATCTTATGAAGTAGATCATTCTTAAACACAAAAGTTTTATATTTTGATTTTAAAATTTGTCTTTTATTGCATTTTTGTCCTTACAAATGATTCTGTAAAAAATCTCATTTTCTCTTCACTTAAGTGCTTCAGGTTAGACATTTAAACAATATTTTTAAGCTGTTATATCTAATATAAAATTGATATAGTAAGACAGAATTTAGAAATTTGCAGATTTTTACATTATATTAAAAGTGCATACATTTGTTAACTGTTTCCTTGCAACTGTACAAAGCTCTATATTTATTAATATTACTACATTAGTTAATCATCATTTCCAGTTTATATGAAGTACACAATGCTTTAATTTATATAAACTTACTATTCTCAAAAATATGATAATGTAGGAACCATAAAAACTATCATTATATTTTTGAGAATAGTAAGTTTATATAAATCAAGAAACGAAACAACTCTTATGTCCACAAAACACAACAATCTACTGTTGACACGACCACAGCTGCCGTCTTCAAAATGTGTTAGCATTATTGTCTGAATAAGTTCGTGCTATTTGAAAGAGTATTATATGTAATGTTTAAACAGGATTTTGCACGGATTCTCACTAAACTGTAATACAAATTTCATATATAAAACAAAAAACTTTAGTTGACATTATCTTAAAACAGAATTTAAATATATGTCATTTTATATATGAAATTTGTGTTACAGTTTAGTGAGAATCCTTGTAAAATCCTGTTTAAACATTACATATAATACTCTTTCAAATAGCACGAACTTATTCAGACAATAATGCTAACACATTTTGAAGACGGCAGCTGTGGTTGTGTCAACAGTAGATTGTTGTGTTTTGTGGACATAACAGTTGTTTCGTTTCTTGATTTATATAAAAGTGGGCAGTTTTATTAAGAATTTTATGAAGAAAAAATTATCAGATTTAATCCCTTTTTTATATAGTGTTGTTCCAGGAAACATGTGAAAGTTGTCTTTCTCAAGATTTTACATTTTTTTTTTTTTATTCTTAATGTTTTAAAATAATTGAATAATATTTCATTCTTCCTCTCCTCCTCTCCACAAACTAAAGATTGATGAGTAGCAAACAAGTCCACCATTCACTTCTATTTGGTGCTAGTTGCTTAATCTTGCTATAAGGCTTTAATCTTCTACATTTCACTATATCCCAGTACTCCCTTCTTGGTTGTCTCTTACTGCTTTTCTCTCCATTACTCCCTCAAATAATATCATCTTCAACCATTCTGCATGTCTTAATAGATGTCCTATTGTGCTGTTCCTTCATTTATTTATAGTAATAAGAATGCTTCTGATTTCTTCCATACTCTAAAATCTGCTCATTGGACAATTTTTAGTCCATGCTACCTTTGGCATTCTCCTCCAATGTCGCATCTTTTTTACAAATTCCATAAGACTTTGCAAAGCTTCCCAAATAATGGTAGCTTTACACACTGTCTAATTCTTTCCCCTCCGGTATTGTTCTGGCATGTCTTTCATTTCCTCTTGAAAAAATCATTACTTTTGTGCTTTGTATGACTTATTTTTAGATTGCATTTGGCCTTTAGTGCATAAAGGCCTCTCAATGCCTCTTGTAGATCTTGTTCACAGTTCGTAACCAGAGCTATGTCATCTGCAAAATGCATTTTGTTGAAGATTTTACTGTGTTAATTTTGCACATATTCAGTTAGTGATAAAAAGGATATATTTGAATTTATCATCAACTTTCTATAATTTGGGAGGAAATTCAGAAAGTAATATTTTGCTTGTTTACTCAACTTTAATCTCTATCGAAAGATTTTTAAAAAATATCATAAACATGAAATAAATGGTAAAAACAAAAAGAGGAATTAAGTATTTGAAAACAAATAATAATAAATCAGAATTTACATAATGGATGACCTTAAAAGTCAGATGATGTCTGGTTACTTTCGAGATGACCTTAATTAGATTTGCAACCGGTTTTTTAGCATAGAACAAAAGTAAATAAACATTGCAAAATGTAGATGTAAAATTTACAGATGCATATTTATAAATACAACAGCAGTTAAAGTAATCGTCCAGAGATTCTAGGTCCACACGCAAACAAAATTTCGAAACACTTTTAATAGACTCCATTTGATGTAGTCATTAAATTTCGAGTAACCCAGTTTGTTATAAAATCATCATTCTTGGTAACCCGATTTGTCGCATTAGAATTAAGAATATGGTTTTGAGTAGCAAAAATAGGTTATAATACCTTTAACTGTATTTATAAATTAGAGTTGGTTGTACAGTAGAGTCTCGAAAACTCGGCACTCGATAACCCGGCAGTCCGGATAACTCGGCCACATCCTGGCAGGGCAAAAAAAATCCTTAGTTAATTAATTTTCATTATAGACAGCTTTATGCCTCATAAAGTATTTTTCTGAGGTCTGTCTTATCAGGTAAATTACTGTACACAGCGTATTCATTAATTTTCATTTTTATGTAGTAAAGGCTGTATGCTTTCATAAAGGACTTGCTTTTCCTTTCTTTAAGGGTATTTGGGCAGTTTATTCTCTGTTGTATTCTCAAGTAAACAATACATACAAGTACAGTACAGTATTTTCTGAGGAAACACTCATACTTATTTTTTTTAACCCCATTCCCGATAACCTGGCATTTTCACAAACTCGGCCATACTTCGGTCCACATTAGGCAGAGTTTTCGAGACTCTACTGTATTTTGATTATTATCTTCAATTTCTATCTACTTAAGTAAAAATATCAAGTTGTAAATAAATTATAATAGATTTTTTTTATAGAGGTATTTTGAGAAAGTATAACTTTTAAAAATTATATGTTCCAAAGCCATATAAAAGATACCATGTGTGAGAAATATTTAGTGTAATGTTATCCACTAACTGAATACAAATATTGCAACTTTTCTCTGTAATTAAATGTGTCAGTCTGTCAACATGGAGTTGATGTAAAATATCCTGTATGCATACTCTTCTACTCTCTTTGGTCAGGATTAGTTGACACTGCTACATACTATAAATTATTATTTAGCTTGACAGAATTTCTATAAACATTAATATGTATAATAAATCAACTTTATATATTATTGTTAATACACCTACAACTGCCGTAAATGATCGGACTAAATTTTGGATATATGAAATAGATTAGAAACACTCTAGTGCCAAATTCATTTCTAATCTATAATCATATATCCAAAATTTAGCCCGATCATTTACTGCAGTTGTAAGTGTATTTGCTTAGATATCGGGTTTTGATTGACATGTATACATATTATTGTTATATATAAGCTTAAAATTATGAAAAAACAAAATAGAAACGGTGGCATCAGGAATTGATGAATCGTCACAAAATTTTTCAACAAGTGAGCAAAGCAAACAGGTGATGAGTCAGGTAGAACAAAGGGAGCAAAGCAAGTGAAGGTTTGAATGTTTGTGAATTTTATTTTAGGAAAAGTCTGCATTGGGAACATGGGTGAAATTTTTGGAACAAATTAGGGTAAAAGAAATAAAATGCATACAGTCTGTAACAAAAGTATAAACATATCTGTTTTTTTGAATTTTTTTAATTTTACGTTAAAAACCTATAAAATTATTTATAGCTAAAGGTTTTAAATATAATTTAATACATTTTGATAAATTTTTATATTAAAGTAATTACTAGTTTAAAAGTTATTTCTATTTTCTAATTTTGGACTGTAACAAAATTATATTTCAATTCAATTTACATGCGTTCCATTCTATTCCTTTTCTCTTAGATCCCGAATATGGCTACTTAAACAGCTGAAATCATTTCAAATAATAATTTTTCTGGTAAAGGTTTAATATTGTTTTTATTGAAAAGTCAAATAAGGCTTTATGAAGCAATGTTAATGTTTTAGTTAAGGTGTATACCATCACATTAATATCAACTGAGCCCTTTTTCACTATCTTATGAAGATTATGCTTTGATCTCATATAAAAAGTAAATGTTTTGTGAGCTTTACTGTACATTTAATATCATAGTTTATCTTGATAGATTTTCTATCAAATTTACACTGTTGACCATTAAAATTGCTGCACCTGGAAGGAAAGCAAATAGCAGAATCATGTTTATTGTACGCATACAGAATAATGGAAGGAAGACATGATTAAATTGACAGGTAATCTTGAAATATAGAGCACCCAGCATGTTGTACCTTTCTTGCATGCTTCCTTCGTGGTGTAGTAATTTTAATGGCCTGCAATGTAGACTATTTCAGCCATACATATCTGTATAGCTCCTGTTGCATCTTAAGCTATAGCATCTATGATTTACATTACTACAGTACATTATTTTTTTGTTAGTAAAGATAACATTAATTTATAGTATGGTAGTAACCACTATAGATTTTACTTACAGTTCAATTTGAACTGTAAGTAATTGTAGAATAAACTGTAAGAATTGAACTGTAAGATTCACATAACCATCTTGCTTGGTTTTTCCAATGCTGCTAACACAAAATAAAAAATAGCCCAAAATAGCAAATAAATTAATATATATTTTTCATTGCCTACTTATTACTGAATAAACTTTTTCTTCTGATTGCTTTTTGTCCATTGTCTTGTTTTGTGCTAGCACACTTTCCCAAAATGGACTTATCACAGTGGATGAAAGTGTTATTCTGCAAATTACATGTCTCAAGGTCAATGTATTTATTTTATGATATGCATTTTGGATTAACTGCTTCCTCTTCAGTTTTAATACAAAGATTTTTTTTAGGATTTGTAGGCATATGCACATGTGTTATTAATTTCATAATAAAAACTTCACAATGTATGTGACACAACTACACCCAAATAAGAACATTTTAACTAGGTTGAAAATTTGTACAATCTCCAGAAAAATTGATGAAACCATAATGAATTCATAGTACAATTATACTCTAATAGAATTTACTAGCAATACCCTCTTACACTTCTGCATTGCCTTTGGGTGTGTTTCCCTCTAGCTCACAAGTATGTGCTAATTTGTTTATTTTTCCTCTCTGCTGGTTAGGAATCCCTCCCAAGATTCATATCTTTTCTGATACATGAACACAGTTAAATTTATATAAGAAGAGAAAACTCCTTCATTCACTGATGGACTATTTATTCAAAAAAATCAGACTAACTGTCCTGGTTGAACTATTGAGCCAGATACTGACAACAAACAATAAAACAGAACTGTCTATACATATGCTTGGATGCATCCCTATCATACTAAGCATCAATAAATAGTTTCTCGTATTCTCCAGCTGTGCTATAACAACTGGACAATCTGCCATGAGGTGTTATTTTATACAACTGTGGTCAATAGTTATATAGTATAAACAATGTCATCTATAAAAATACCATCTCTCAAGTTCATATTTTGTTTAAATGATCCATTTAATTTTATTTTAAACTTTATAAACTATTAAATCTGCTTTATGTTTGATATTTTTTAATACATGGGTTGGAAATTTAATAGTGGCAACAGTGCTATAGAAACCTAATGCAATGCAACCACCAGCTAATGCCACCTAGAGCAAATTGACTTTATCATCCAACTCCAAGCACCAGTGCAGTGACAAGAAGGTCTGTTGCTATCACCTGGTCTAGTCACGATGTTCTCAAAGTTGGATAAAGATTGAAAGTTCCAGAGGTTAAACTGCATGAAAGTATTGCCGAGAACTCAGAGGCTTGTGGGAAATCTGCATTATCATATAGAACAGGGCTTCTTAAACTTTTTTTATTCACGACCCCATTTATGATTGTGATTTTTTTCGCGACCCAAAAAGAAATAAAAAATAAAGATATACAGTATACAAATTTGCAAAAACAATAATGGTATACTACCACAGTTCACTCTTGTGTTACAATGGAGCAGTGACAACTGAATACACTGAAAAGCGACAATACTACACTAGTTCACACTACAATCAGTGTTGCTGAATCGTTGTCTCGCTGCACCAGAAGTGACACAAAGCGTGCCATTTTCAAACTCTCACAAATTATTTTCAATATTTTGCATTAAAATCGCGCAACCCCAAGATTTCGCTAAGCGACCCCAAATGGGGTCACGACCCATAGTTTAAGAAGCCCTGATATAGAACAATACAAGATGGGTAAAAGCTTTCAACAAGGGACACGAAAACTAGAAAGATGGGCCTCGTCCAGGTTGCCCCCGTGCAAGTGAAAAAAAGTGAATACCATACCCCTAGACCAGACCATAAATGCACAGTATTTCTCTACATTTTTGGAACACAATCTGCAGTCAGCATTGAGAGAAAAGCAGCAACACTTTCAGCAGAACCCACCCATCTTGAATGACAATGTTCAAGCTCATGTTGCTCAATATGTAGTCACGTTGTTCAGTCGCTGGAGATGGGAAGTTCTCTGTCATCCACCATATTCTCCGTACTTAAGCCCCTGTGGTATCGACTTAGTCCCTAAAAGGAAGGAACCATTGTGTGGAAGGTGGTTCAGAACAATTCCAGATATTCTTCAGCAACAGACCACTCTGTTCACGTGATCAACCAAACAAGCTCTGCCGATGGCATCTTGTGACTTCCGCACTACTGGTGACTACATTGAAGGAGAGTAAAAATCTGAAATATGTATGTTTTTTGTACAGATTGCAATTTCAGAGTTGCCACTATTAAAATTCCAACCTTCATCTCTCTCAATAGGAAAGCAAATTTATAAGTATAGCGTACAATAAATATATAATTTTCTTTCACAGTTTCGAAAATACAGTCGAGATCACATTCCAGACAATAAAAGTCATCCTCCTTTTCATCACCACATTCGCATGCAGATACGTCATCTAGTAAGTGAAAATAACAGACATCGCCGGAGATCTCAGCCAAATAATTACTTAACTGTAAATAACAATAACAATAATGATGATACTTATTCTCGTAATCACAGTTTAAATACGTTACAACTTAGTAATATCAAAGAAATAAAAGGTTAGAAGAATTTGCATAAAATTTAACTAGTTATTAATGTCATCTGTAAATTTCCATTTTTCTGTGTGTATACTTTAACAGAAAAAGAAAGAACAACCAGTAAAGTGAGTCTTGCCAGCATCAGTTCCGAAACGAGTTCGAGTCCCAGTCAGGACGACAACGGAATTATATTTCAAGTTCCAAATCATTCTCCTCAGTCTCCCAATTCCGAAACTTCTAAGCAAAGTACGTATTTGTGTATATCCCATAAAAGTTATGAAAATGGCAGTAAAAATCACGGCTCCATACTGACCATTGATTTTTATGACATTTACTGACATGTAGTTAAATTCACTTTATTTTAAAATAACTCCTAGTAGCTAGAAAAGTTCAACAACACACACATGCTTTTACTTGCTACTTCCAGCACTGATGTTCAATAAACATCAGATAGATAAATGGGAGAAAAACAAATGTTTTTGACTGCTTTATTGGACCTCTTCAGGTTACATGAACTTTTTCACACCTTTTAAATGAGCTTATGTGATTGTTGATAAAAATATTCTTTAATCAAACTTCTTACTAAAGTTCAAAATATGAAATTTTATACACTTGAATGACATTATATAAATTTTTCTCCCATTAACAGTATCTAACATTTATTAAACATCAGTGCTGGAAAAAAGCATCTGTGTGCACACTTTTATTTTAATGCTAAAATAAGAAGTTCAGTGATTGGCTCTTGAATCCGTTTGCCATAGTGAACTAAAATAGGATAAAATGTACAGCTGGCTTCTAATGAGCTATTTAAAAGTTGCATTTGAGAGTCATTATATATAGAGAGAAAAAATTACTAGAAACTTATCAGTTTCCAAAATACAAATTTAAGTATAGAATCAATGTATAGAAAATGAATGAGAGAGTACTAAAAGCAAAGCACATTGTATATTATCAATATTGTACTTGAATGAGTAACTTAATAATCAGATTATTTGAGCAAAATCAAGGAATGGTGATAACAGTTCAGGGGCTCTTGCTTTTTCATGTAGCCAAAAAAAATTTTATTCTTAAATGTAATGTTTTAAAAAGGTTGAATAGGCATAACCTCATAATTATAAAATTTAAAGATTCAAAACAAACAGAATTTTTTAATTCAAATAAATTCACAATCTAAATTGTGATTAAAATGAAATACAAAAAAAATTACTGATGAATATTTTATCTAGTTCCATAGTATACATTAAGCATACCCAGTCAACCCCAATTTTGATTTTTCCGTTTTATATGAATTCCATGTTGTACGAGTCACTTAGGTTTTACAAATACATGAGCCGTTCACAGCCCGGTACACGTACTGTATTTGTAAAATCTAAGTGACTCATACAACATGGAATTCTTATAAAACGGAAAAATCAATAGTGTTATAGGGGGGTCAACTGTATTTCAATTAGGGTTTTATTGTTAGTGCAGGGAAGGAAATCTAATGTTGCAAGACTTTTATTTATTTTCAAGATTACAATAGGAAATTATTATTTTACATATACAACAATTAAATGGCAATACTGGTAGAACTCAGAATACAACTTGGTTACTGTTATGCAGTCTCTCAGACTGCATAACAGTAACCATTGAACAACCATTATAACATTGTCTAGGTTTCATTTGAACAACCCATCATATAAAGCATATATTACCTCACTGATCACCATAGCATAATGACAAAGTTGTATTAGCTGCTATAAGATATCATCTCCTACATTAAGATGTGCATTCCAATATGATACAAGTGTATGTATGCCAGTGGTTGGCAGCCTATGGCACATGGAAGGTGTTTTGATGGCACAGCATAGAGAATGACAATTAATGAAACTTTTTCAGTGCTTATTACATAAAAATTTTAATTTATAACTAAAACATGGAATGAACTTCCAGATTTTCATATATGAAAAAAATCGTATTTGTTCTTTTAACTGTTTTCAATACAACATACTACTGTAAGCAAATATTCTCAATGATGAAATATATTATAAATCTGTATGGAAGTCGTTTAACTGAAGAATGTTCAGAAATGTGCGTAATGTTAAAAAATTCAATCAGTTCATAGTTTGAATTTTTTACAGCTCAGATATTGAACCGTTAGCTTCAAAATTTGAACCTTGAGGCAGTCACTAATGTTTAAATATTATTAAGAAAAATTTGACTATAATAATAACATTATTAAAAAACCACGTAGTTTCACCCACCAGTGACTGAGTGAATAAAACCACCAAACACTGGTAGATGGTCATGGGTTTGAGCCTGGCAAACAGGCTGGCCACATGGAGTTTTCTGGGTTTTCTTTATGTTAGTAACACCTAAATAGGAACCAATTTCCCAGAAAAGATCTCCTGGTAGTCATTGCCCACGTGTCGTGTTGCCATAAACAAATAAAACCAAACCCCTTAACATAGTTTTGATTTCATTAACATGCCAAGTGGCCAATACTTGAATAAAAAAATTTTATGTGGCACCCCATGTTATGTAGATTGCCGACCATTGGCATATATCTTCTGCATAGAGAAAAAGGAAGGCTGCTGGATGAGCCAACAGTAATTTGACATTGCAAAGAATGGCTGTATATCAGGACTGTACAGTGCAGAACTGCAGAACTCCCCATTCAATATGGAAATGATCGTTGCTAACATTACCTTGCTAGTTCCATGTTCCTCAAAGATCACAGATTTCAATCTGATAGCTTTTCAGTCTGGGTAAGTGAATGGTTTACCCAGCAATCTGCCTTTTTTTATACAGGAGATGATTTTCTATAGCAGCTAATGCAACTTTGTCATTATGCTGTGTATACTGAAATCCTGCTATGACAACCAGCGACACCATATGTTTTATATGGTACAGTCGATATTTCATTTGAACAACCCTTGTATTTTTAGCTTGGCTTAACTGCCTATTATTAATTAACTTTGGGTTATACTTCAGTTATTCTGGTCTTATTATTTGATTATTAGAGCAGTTTCGACTTTGTTACCTACATGTCGTTAAATATAAAATGTAATCATTCATCATTCTAGAATTATTGCAATTTTTTAATAAGGTTTTAATATCAGTAAAATATTGAATAAATATAATTTATAATCTTCATTTTAATGATAAATAGAAAATATTTTAGTATTTAATACTTAATTTATGTTTATTACTTAGCTTTGCCAGACGAAACAGTTTTAACACCAGTTTCTCCGACCGTAACCGAAACCACTCTTCCCTGGAAACGTCGAGATGACATAACAGAGGATGAGTGTGCAAGAATACAGCAGGAATTTCCATCCTGGATCGACAACAGAGAGTACATGGCCTATGCGTCTCCTACCGACACGCTGTTGGGCAAGTTGAGCGGATCGGAAGAAAAGAGACCCGCCGTGTTCGAAATTTTTAAACTAGATGCCTCTCCGGTAAAGGGCGTACCCCAGAAGAACGAAGAGGCAATCAACACCGTCCTAATAGAGGGTCACCGATCTCCATCGACGTCAAAAGACGGAGTAAATGCAGACTGCGAAGTACAAGATACCTCCATCGACATGTCAAACTTTGTCGAACAACACACCAAGTTATAAAATGGATGCCTTGTGCAAAATTGGTCACAAATATTTTTATGTTAATTTTACTAGTATTAGAAGATAATTGGAAAGCATTACTTAAAACATAGACTGTTGAGGGTGCTACAGATTAAAACTATGGAATATTGGGGATGTCAGTGTTTAAATAATTCATTCCAATTTCATAACTCAAAAAAAGTAAATGTAAATATATGTGTTTACTACATTTAATTCCAAAAAAAATTCAGCAATTTAAGTAGTTTTGCTAGTTAATATTTTTTTTTCTTTTTAAATATACATGAATCTACTCTTTCACTATTTTGTATCTTATATGGACAAATCTGCATATTCTTTGTCATCTTTCAGTATGAAGTATTTAATATGAAAGTGTGTACAATATGTAACAGTGTCTAATTGCAAAGGTATTTTGCACAGGTTTTATCCTTTCTTGGATAAAAATTGAACTTTCTTGTTCAAAGATAATGTATTTTTGCATCTGACAATATTTTGTTGAAGTGCAAAATCTTTTAAAAAGAAAAAATTTAACTTCTGTTTGCCATTATGGTTCCTATTTCAAATTGGGGAACAAAGACAATTTTGTCTTTCCTAAGATTATCAACAATGATTTACACATTACTTTGATTATCCAAATGAATCTTTTGAACTGTAATGGATATTTTTAAGTTCTGGTGTAATCATATTATTCAGACAATGTGATTATGGCACAAATGTGATAAAATTATTAAGTTTTAAAGCAATTAATGTTCCTGTATTATATTGTATATAGGACACAAAACACGCTGTGCTATCGATCTGTACCTGCATTGTAAATACGTACCTTTTTTTACCTCGTTAAGGAAACGTGATCATTTTTATAGTTTGTTGTTAGTTTTGTATTGTTGACGGTTGCACAATTTGTAAAAATAAAGCATTTTTGTATATAATTTGTGTGTATGGCAAAACGTTATATTCATTTACCTCACCCCAGATGCCGAATTTCTCATTCACTCCGTCCACTTCGCGTTCAAGCTTTAAGAAAATATTTTCAAGCACAATCTTGATTAGTGCATTTTTACAAAGTGCTAAAATGTTTTAGCATAATGTGTTATGCAGCCTCAATAAATCAAAATTTTTTTTAAATTATAAATTTTTACAGGAACATTTTATCTTTTATACATATATATTTAATATTAGATTATGCTCTGTGCTTTACGCACATATAATTTCTAGCACAAAATTTTATATTGTTTTTATAGAAATAGCATTCAAATTTTTGAAAATAGCAACAGAATGCACACATATTGTAATTCAATTAAGGAATGTGTACTTAAATACTTTCTCACAAAGACTTAATTTTCCTGTTACTTGTTTTTTTTATTTTAAAAACTATACTTAATGTCATTTAATTATAATGTCACTGCATATCTACAAAAATTTTTTGCTCTGCACAAAAATTGTAATTCTGTCAAGACTCAATATAATTCAAGTCTTGACAGAAGCGCTGTTGAATTGTAACAATACTGGAGTAATCCAGAATTGACAGAGTGAGATTTGACATTATGCAATATTTGAATGCTTCTTATATCCAAATATGCTCAATAATTGTTAAAAGTGAATTTTTAAATTACTGCAAAATGATTTTAAATGAAAATTGTCTCATTATGTACTGTACTTAGCACTTATCAAACTTTATGTGAAAACACCATATTTTTAAGAAATTCTATCATCAGAGCAATACAGAATACTGGATTTATTTCATCTGCGAGTCCCAGATGTGTATGATTCTAAAATACCGTTAAAATCGTGTAATCGTATGTCGATGATAGTGCCATGAATATTTACTGTATTATTGTAAATGTACTGTGAATAACTGTAAATAAAATATATGAATTGTAACTGATTATTTTATATATTACTTAAGCTTAAAATACAGAATTATTTGTACAGAGCAAAATCCAACTATTCGAGTATAAATTCAGAACTGATGGATCAAAATTAAAAATACTGAATTGACCACTATCTGATCTTATGCTGAACAGAGATCTTGCAGTGAGTATCAAATGTCTTTGTGAGATTAGCCGTGGGCCAAGGGGGTGATCCCTAATGACCACTTAATTGGCACAGGTTGGTAAAACCCAATCTCTATGTCTGTTGGATGGCTATTAGTGGAGTGGGGAGGTCACGGGTAAGTCGATAAGTTCCGAGAAATGACTGTTAGGTTTATAAACCTAACAAAGTTTAATCTAAAGAGCTAAATCTAGGGTTGCAAAATGCACAACTAAATGTTACTCATAAATGTGTCACTTTGCAAGGTGCACTCCCGGTTCCCTATAAACTAATTTTGAACATGAAGAGAGAGTTTACCAATTTGCTATTTCAAATACCTCTGAGAATGATATGTTCTCTGTCTTGGTTGAGGTTGAGCCATGTTCGATGCCTTCTTTTCTTATAAGGCGATTCAAGCCATCATCATCTATGGGAAAGTCCACTTTAGGCTGTTCTGGATATGACAGGAGTCTTCTTTATTCGTGGAGTTCGTCATGTGATGTCTGCTGGGAACAAAGTGGCTGGAGGTATTCGCCAGTATATGGCTCCTGTTGAAATCCACCCCGACTTGAGTTCTCAACTCCCTTTATCTGATTTAGCCTGGGAAAATTCATCAGGTGATCGGATGTTTAGTGACAAATCTGCAGGTGTGCGGTCAGAAGTGATCCAGGGAGACAGAAGAGGTGTCGAAACAGAACATAGAATGTAATCTTTGGTTCGTGCAACATTAGATTCATCCTATTTATACAGATGAATGTTGACATTCTCATCCCTTTAACAATAAATTGCTATACTTAGCAGTTGTTGATGAGAAAAATGACATTCAATCCTTTTTCATTGCTCTGATTTCTTAACGCTCACAATGGAGAATTAGGCTTAACATTTTTGTAAAATATAGCAAAATCAAATGCTCAATCTCACATCTTCATTCTCTCTCAGACACATTTGAATTTCATGCTGCATATCTTCAGCAATACATCTTAATATCTCATTCATGATACTTTCAGCACATCAAATGTGCAGGACTTTCTATATTATAATTATTTGTTAAAAATCTTGCAAAAAGAAACTAGAAAATATTGCAGATCATTAGAAACAAGTTTATTTGTTAGTTAGATAATATCTGTAAAATCCACAATGGTTAAGTTACCTCATCTCCAGATCAATCTCTAGTTCAGGGTTCTCTAGGATCTGCAAGCTGATGGCTGCAAATCTAACAGTACATTTCAGCATCAACAAAAAACCTCAAAAAGACAAAATTACAAAAAATTACATTCATGTCCAGAAAATAAGCATAATTACCTAATCCTTAGGTAGAGCAAAAATTAAACAAAACAGTGGAAAATTTATATGAACATTTCCAGAAAATAAAAATTTCCCACAAGTAGTCAAATGTTCAGGCTCTATATATACAGCAGTGTAGCATGCCAATGGGTTATATCAGGGTTCCCAAATTCTTTTGACAATCAACCCCTTCCAGAATTTTCAACTTTTATTGACCCCCCTCTACTATTATGTAATCACAATAGGACAAACTAAGAAAGGCATTTATGTGATTTTTAGATGTTTATTATATAGTTTATTATTTTTATTACATACATCTAATATATTTATATCTAATCAGATTAATTAAGTTCATAAAATTATTTAAATTATCATTGTGATGGGTGTGCCTGGTGACTCTTGGCAAGATTAGCAATGTTGGGTTCAAGATTAGTGAGTTTCAGCCTTAAATCTCTACAGAATTCTATATCTAGCTTATTTCTGTTTTGTTCATATGGAATTAACACGGCTGAAACAGTTTCAGCTAAGAAATGCAGTAAAAAGGAAAGTACCACTTCAGAAAGTTCTGGATAATTTTGTACATCCAAAAGTAACTTAAAGTCACATTTTTAGAAAGTGTCTTAGCTTCATCATCAGCTGACAATTCAATAAGTTTATCTTGAAAATTACATTTGATGTTTTCAACTTCTGCAGAAAATATTTAGTTATTTATTATATTAGTGATTTTTAATTAACTTTTCCATCGACCTCTCTCAATGTCATATTGACTCCTGGGGTCTATATCGACCAATTTGGGGAGCCCTGGGTTATATGATTAAAGTTAAGCATAAGCTTTCACTTGAAGATTACATCCTAGTTGTATGATTGAAAGTTAGCTTTTACTTCACCTGCAAGTAATAGTAACAGGTAGAGCATTTACTTCCTTCTCAAGTAAAAGCTAAAGCAATATGATAAAACAGCAGCAATTGCTTCATTTTGGTAATAAACGCTTAAAATTTTTCAAGTTCCTACCATTTCAGCTTGATTCATAAAGATGTGTGCAATATTATATGTTGGAAAATAAGAAATAGGAAAGTAAAGGAAAACAGAGAATAGTAAAGAAATGTGATGATAAGGTTTTATAGATTTAACGAAAACAATCTTAAATGGATGACAAAATATTTCTTAGAAAATAGCACTTAGAAGAAGTATGGAACCTTATTTCCAAAGATAAAGATGATTCTTTTTTCAATATTTACCAGATCTGTTTCAAATTGGTATTGCTGAAAATTCAAAGTTGATCAGATCATACAATTTGAAAGACAAAGTGCAATGCCCTGGAAATAGTCAAAAAAAAAAAGGAATGTAGAATTTATTAAATTATATTACTTGTTTTCTTGATGGTTTAAGTGTCGAGTCAGCAACACTGGACTTTGACATCATCGCTCAAAAAGAATAGAGAAAAACAAAATTTTAGAATAAAAGAAAATTTAAAGGGAAATTATTTAAAACTTAAGACACAATAAGGTAAAACGAAACAAGAATGTAAAAAATGAGCGTAGGTGTCTTGGTCATCGATAAAGCGCAATCAGAGTCAAGAGGATAATGTCAAATAAACCATCCTGGGCAGACCTTTCTTGCAACCTAAACTGGTCTCAATTTTCACCTTGAGACAGGTAAGAGAACAATAGGGGAGCAGGGAAGGGAAAGCCCAACCAATTAGAAATGAATCGATCCTGAAAAACTTATAAAACCTCCACTGTCAAGGACAAGAAAGCTTCCTCTAGAGAATGCCCTTTTTGGTTGTCACTCTCTTCTCTCCATGCTTCCGCTAATAAGTGCTGATATCTATTGCATCTTTTCTACTCCAAACTCTAACTCGCCATTGCCCCAGGGCTCCACCAATGCAAGATGAAAAGAAAACCTCAGAGACATCCAACCAATGGGACAGCAACATCTGGGAGCAGACCTTGTCAATCATTTATAAGCATGATCTTCGAAAAATAAATGGTTTCTTTGTGAAACACTTGTCTTTTTCTGCCTCCAAAAACACCACCAACAAATACAAAGGCCTTAGACCATCCTGATGAAAGGGAATTAAAAAAAAAACCCTAATCAACAAACTTACAAAAGTAAGTATATAATTAAGGCTGCAAATGCATTTTATAACTGAGTTGGAAAGCATTCATGTCCATTATTATTTTTCTGGTTGCTGCATGTTGTGATCTAGTTTTTGCCACTTGTGCTTTTGAAGTTTCTTCAATTACACAAGCACCTACTGACAGAAATCCATCAGTGTCTTATTTCTTGATATTATTATTCCTTTCTATTCAGAACGACTGTCTCCAACGACTTCATTAGTTCTTTTCCTATTCTATTATTATTATTGGGCTGCAATTTGAAGAAGTTGTAAACCTATAAATTCCCACTGTCGTCCATCCATCTTTCGTTAATCTCAAGAATGGAGTTAGATAGAGGAAAGTCGAGACCAGATACGGAAACCTTAGGAGCACAAGGCCCTGATTAACTATATATGAACTTTTATATATATATATAAACTTAATATATATATAAACTTTTATATATTTCAATTCAAAAACTTTTTCCTGAAAGCAGTTAATATGTGCACTTCTGGTACAACTGGTGCAACTCTACTGTTAACACTGGAAAGCTCTTCTAGAAACATGGCTTTTTGCTACTTTATTGTAGGAACTTGAAATTTTTCTAAAAGTGGATTTACTTTAAAAATTTAACAAACTTCAGTTTCTGCTTCTGTCACTCTTATGGTAACTTTATGTTTGACTCACAGAGATTACTCTAGCTTTTACTTAAAATCATGTAGCATTAACTTGAAGTAAAAGAATAGCTTTTATCATACAAAACTCAAATATATGCTTTTCTATTTCATACTTAAAGCTTTTGCTATTTTCTTTTAGCTTATTATGCCTAACTTTAATCATACAACACATTGTTTCTGTTGCAGTTTAACCATTGGAAGACAATTTGTTACTGTTTTATTGTATGATACTACACAGACAATTTTATGAAAAAATTATTATTGAAAGGCTAAAAACAGACTAGTTGTGTCTAGGATTTAAATGTGCTGCAGTGTGTGAATCCAGAGGACCTATTCCAAGCTCTTTCAATAACACAACAAAAGCGATACATGAGACATTTGATAAGTCTTCTTAACAAAAGCAGTCAACAAACCTTAGACAAATTGCTCTTCTCTGCTCCACATTAGGTAGGTTTTGCTATGGGTAATCAGTTAAGATGCATCTGGATTCCATGCTATTGTGACAATGTGCAATGTGCCCCCTGCACTATGAGACCGAAGGATCAACACCACATTTGCAATGAAAAAGTTGTCAGGACTGACACCACTGTGTCTTAAGGACAGACAGAAACCCCGATGGCCTTTTTCGTTCGCTTTTACGTGCGAGCGGTTGCATCTAGGCGCTTGGACTCGGGATTAGGGTTTCTCATTTCCCGGTCTTTTGCTTGTCCCGGGATCCCGGGATAAAAGTGAACTGTTTCCCGGGATCCCGGGAAATCCCGGGATAGAATTAATTATTTTTAAGGTATAGAAAAT